TTTTTTTATCAAATCCTATATCAGAAATCCATATATTGTCCAAATTTTGCTAATCCAGTGTTTCAGATTTTTATAATAAATCATAATATGGACTTGTGGTTTAATGCTAATTGCATGTGGTCTTTCTTATACCTAGAAAATGAAAATTGAATTAGACCAAGTTAAACAACAACTAATAGTAAGTGAAATTTTTTCCCCTTATTAATTTCAGAACAAATATTCATTATAAGATCATCTTTTAAAATATTTTTATATTCTTTAAAGAATGAAACCAGTCGAATCAGAGCGGATAATAAACTAGACATCAATCTAGAAAGGAGCAGAGTAACAGATATGGTAATGTGTTTTTAAATTGGTTATTTATTCCTTTTTAATTATTTTTAGTCTTTTTTTGTTTGTTTTAATCTCTTGCTGCTTCATATCCTTTAGTTTACAGATCAAGAAAAGCAACTTATGGAAGCAACCACAGAGTTTACCAGAAAGGTAAAGTAGTACATAAAAATTTCTCTTTTGTACAGTTCTTGTGCCTTGTATAACTACTTTTATATGTATCAGTTTATAAGTGTAGAATTTAAAAAGGTAGCCCTGTAGAATCCATGATTTCCTCATAGCTATTATAGTCAGCCAACACTTTTGGGGAAGCTGCCACCAAGTAGATAGTCATACATGATCTGTGGCCCCAGAGTAAGAATCATGCTTTCCGCTTAGTATACTTTAAATAAATTATTTTTATGTAGGAAATAACTATTTTTTAAATACAAAGATTCACTACTGGTATTTCAGAACTGGTATTGAAATGAGTGCCTAAGCTCAATTAAATATCTTAAGTTTTAAAAAAGATCATAGTAAATATTTATTGAGCGTTTTTTATGCATCAAATATTATTTTCATGATTTACTTATGTTAATTCATTTAATCTTCATATTAGCTCTGTAAGGTAAGCACTATTGTTCACATTTTACCAATTTGGAAAATAAGGCACTAAGAGGTTAAGGTCACCCAGCTAATAAGTGGTAGAGCTGGGATAAGAACCTGGATTCTAAACACTATACTCAGAAGTACTGCTTACTTTCTTAGTCTTAATCTCTATGGCTTGAGTAAAAGCCAGTTTTCTGACTCAGCCTAGTCCTTTTTTTAAAAGTTAAAAGCGATTTGGTTTATATGTTAACAGAAGAGACATCACTCTTGCTTATAATTTAATAGAAGGGAAGGTCACATTGTCCTCTCAAAGATCCTGTTCCCTTCTCTTACTTCTTACTCAGATATAGGAGATAAAGATGTCAGCAAATTCTCTCACCACTAATTTCCGAGCTTTAGATACCATCTTATCTCTTCTCTTTGCCCCCATACACATAGCATTCAGTGTTATCCATCAGGTATTTAACCATAATATCCCAAGGACTTTATACACATAAAGTGATAGTTCTCTGACTAAAATTTTTGCCTCTCAGTTTATCATCTTACATATTTATGTCTCACATATCTTATTATGAGGTTTTTAGTAGAATATGCCCAGTATATGATAATCCTGACAAATAATCTCCCAGTCTGAAACCAGAATGAGTGTGATTTGTCAGTTGGCAGTGTTCACTTTTTTTTTTTTTTAATACTACTGTGGTTTTATTGTGATTCCCCAATTAAGACTTTTAGCCCATAAAGTGAGGGTTTCTGATGTAAATGTTTTTGTCCTTAATACTTAGGAACAAAGTGTAGTACTCTTGTTTATTCTTATTTACTACAGGATACCCAAACCAAAAGTATTATTTCAGAGACCAGTAATAAAATTGACACTGAAATTGCTTCCTTAAAAACACTGATGGAGTCTAACAAACTTGAGACAATTCGTTATCTTGCAGGTAAGACTATTTGTCTTGCAGAGAAAGGAATGGCTATCATTTAATTTTCAGAGTTGTTAGTTCCTACTTCCCAAGGTAACCATGCAGGCACAGGGGAAAAAAAGGAGTTATAACAAGACTCCTTTTTTGTTTCATCCCCTGTAGTGCTTGAAGACGGTTCCAGGCTCAAGATACGTTTAACAGGAGGCTCTGCAACTTATTAGTAGGAAAAGCATATGGATATCAAAAAAATACATAAACACAAGTACAAAACTGGGTATTCCACAATGAAAAGAAATGAAAATTTTCTTTTGATTGCTTATGCTCTTCTGTAAGGATTTGGGTGGGCTAGAGAGAAAGATCACTAAAGTAGATATAGGGCATTAAAAACCATAGCAAGCAGGGTAGGGAGAGGAATAACCTCTTAACTTGAATCAACTAACTGAGCATATTTACTACCCTAAAATTTGATTATTTTCACATACTGAGAGCTCCTTAAGTACCATATGATCTGACCCAATTACAGGGCCCCAATGAGCTAGGAAGAATGCCCTAGTCAAGTAGTATTTGTCTTTTTTTGTTTGTTTTTTTGGTGGCTGGCCAGTTTGGGGATCCAAACTCTTGACCTTGGTGTTTGCAACACTATGCTCTAACCAACTAAGCTAACCAGCCGGCCCCTGCCTTTTTTATTTCTTTTTATTAAAAAATAAATAAAGTAAAATTTTAATCATTTTAATTATAAATTGTTCATATAATTCAAAAGCAGTATAAATGAAAGTGAAAGCCTTCCAAATTCTTTTCCTGTATTTACTATTAGTAGTATAAATTTTTCTAGGCTTTTTCTTCTGTATAAAAACATTATATATACTTCTTAAAAAATAATTATTAGATCTACATTACAGTTTACTTTACAACTTTTTAATATTTAACAAAATGTCTAAAATATCTTTCCATGTCAACACATACATAAACGTCTTTTTATTAGAAAGCAAAGTATCCCATTGCATAAAAATGCTGTAATTTGGGCTGGCCAGTTAACTCAGTTGGTTAGAGCATAGTGTTATAACACTGAGGTCATGGGTTTGGATCCCTGTACCAGCAGCCACACACACACACACACAAAAAAAAAATCGTATTAATTTATCTAGTCCTCTATTAATAGGTATTTTACTCCCAGTTTTTCATTATTAAGAACAATACTGCACTGAACAGCCATATATGTGTGTGTGTATATTTATTACTTTGTGCCTTTGTGCTAGTATTTCTGTATAACAAACTGCTGTGCCCATTTAAAATTTGGGGCCCAAAGATATGCACATTTAAAAACTTTGATAGTAACAAATTGCTGCCCAGAATAAAATTGCTCAGCACATTAGCACACTACCTGACACATGATAAATAGAAGAGCTTTTCTTTGAAAGACTAATTCCTTGTATCTTTTGTCATAAAAGTTCACCCCTTCACCTCAGTCACCACTTAAAAAATTTGTTCATGGCTGTTTAAACAAACTGGGAGTCTAGGGAGTCCCTAAAAGCCTCACTCTGATTTAGCTTCTTAAAGCTGACAGAACAGAAAGGGTTTCTACCCAAAATGATGTAACATAAAGAGTAGGTGGTATATAAACTATTTAAAAGGCCTTATCCTTTTTCTGCCTTCTTTTACCTCATTGAGTTTTTTAAAGGGGTTTTTATTAAAATTTCATTCTTAAAATAATTATGAGAGAAATAATTTTAAAATGTACTGAAAAGGCAATTAAAATTTTCTTCTCATAGATATATTGATGTCTATTATACTAGCTTAAATACATAATTTTTAAATATAGGTAAGATGTTCGTTTATTGTAAGATCTGAAATTAGAGTTTATAATTATTTAAAGTAGTCGTTATTAATAATGCTAATGTTAATAGTGACTTTAAATACTGTTTATAGATTCTAATGACATAACTACATTTTAAAATTACTGTCATCCTTAGTCTGTTTTAAAATACAGGAAGCTTTTTAAGAAGAATTAGCATTAATCCTGTCTTCAAAGATATCTTTTATTCTTACTTTAATTTTCTAGGAAATGAAAACCATAAAGTAGAAAATTGGATGGATTTCCTTTGTTTTTTGCTCTTCATTTATATGGAAGATAAAATATTTTCTTTATCTCTGCAATCAAAAATACATGACCTGTAACATAGTTTCTTCTTTTCACAGCCTCAGTGTTCACTTGCTTGGCGATAGCTTTGGGAATTTATAGAATCTGGAAGTAACAGTGAAACTACTGTTTAATGCTCCTGCTTCTGCTGTTGACTTCTTAGAACATTAAACCAGGATAGATTTACTTTGAACATTGTCAGTTACAGCAGAAACGTACTTCAACAAGATTATTCAAAAGATATGGACTAAAGAAAAGTGTTTCAGAATGGGAAAAGGTATTTTGTCTTTATTGTATGTCTGTGTCTTTATTTTATTATGTCAAAAAGCTGTCATTCAAAATTATTTAAGATAGGGCATTTTATCCTTATCCTTTTGATAGTTCATAGAAACTGAACCAGTTTTCTTGTGTTTGCTTGAGCAACTCTGTAAATCATATAGGATTTTGTTGTATCTGCTGCAAATTTGAAAAGTATTCCCTAGCCTACATACTTCTTATTGGACTTAACTTTCCCTATAGCTATTGTACAATTACATAGATTATTATAACAAAGTTTTATTTGGATTTTAAAAGTGACTTACCATATTGCTGGAGATTTCTTTTTTGTAATGAACTAAAACAATAAATTTTAAAATAATGCATGCTCTAGTGTAAGTGTATAACAGTATAAAATCTATTGAGTTGTGTTAAATATTGAGCTCTGATCACATTTTATTTAAATTTTGATACACAAAAATCTGTTTATCCCTGCTTCTTAACTTAAACCAGTTTGTTAACCCATCTTAAATTCATTACATAAAACAAAGCTTCTCTTAATGATTCATTTAAATTAAGCAAATACCTATTGATATACAGTACCTACTTTCAAGAAACACATAGGGAAATTCAGATTTTTATTTTGTTTTGTTGTTACTGGATCTACTTTATTTTTTCTTATGTAATAATATCGATTGGTAGTATATACGTAATTTCAAAGAAATTACAAAACGTCATTTTCACCTTATTTTTATTCAGATCAAGAAGCCAAGGCCAGAAAGTACTAAACATTTCAAAAGATTTCATAATGACTTGGCAATAGCTTTAAAAGTTTGATAATCAATTAGTAATTCAAAATAACCCTTTCATTTGTTTAGCTATAAACAAGGAGTCTGTAGTATAGAGCAGTCAAGAGGCTGGTCCATATGGTCCAAAGAGTGAGAATCAGAGACTTTCCAATTAAATCTTCAAAGGTCTAACTGATGTGTTGTTTTCAAAACAAAAACTGTATTTTAACATTATGCTGCTGCATTTTGATTCATTTTTATCTCAGAATCTTGCCTAAGAGAGTTCTTAGCACACTGTAGATAAATTTCTATTGGGTTAATAAATAAGGACCATATAAGTTAAAGTCTACTGTAAAAAATTATAGTACATTTGTTCACTTAACCAATATGACTGCCTGCTATGTTCAGGTAAACAACATGCTAGTTAGTCCTCGTGTACACAGAGGTGAACATGGAAATTATAGTACATTTGTTCACTTAACCAATATGACCGCCTGCTATGTTCAGGTAAACAACATGCTAGTTAGTCCTCGTGTACACAGAGGTGAACATGNAATTACAAAACGTCATTTTCACCTTATTTTTATTCAGATCAAGAAGCCAAGGCCAGAAAGTACTAAACATTTCAAAAGATTTCATAATGACTTGGCAATAGCTTTAAAAGTCTGATAGTCAATTAGTAATTCAAAATAACCCTTTCATTTGTTTAGCTATAAACAAGGAGTCTGTAGTATAGAGCAGTCAAGAGGCTGGTCCATATGGTCCAAAGAGTGAGAATCAGAGACTTTCCAATTAAATCTTCAAAGGTCTAACTGATGTGTTGTTTTCAAAACAAAAACTGTATTTTAACATTATGCTGCTGCATTTTGATTCATTTTTATCTCAGAATCTTGCCTAAGAGAGATCTTAGCACACTGTAGATAAATTTCTATTGGGTTAATAAATAAGGACCATATAAGTTAAAGTCTACAAATTATAGTACATTTGTTCACTTAACCAATATGACCGCCTGCTATGTTCAGGTAAACAACATGCTAGTTAGTCCTCGTGTACACAGAGGTGAACATGGTTTCATTCTCAGGGAACTGACAATCTTATGGGAAGAGAGACATTACACAAGCAAATAAATTATTGGTTTGTTACAGTTTAAAATATGCTAAAATATTGAGAGGGAATGCCGCTTTTTCTCCATGTGAAGGAAGCTCCAATAGCGTAACATTATTGTCATCACTCTTTCTTTATTTCCTTTTCTGCTCTGCCCTAGGTGAAGTAAAGTGGTTATCTAGTTATAAATTTGGAAGGAGAAACAAGGCTCAAGTGGCCCAATCACTTCCTCCCCACTCCTGTATGCAATCAGCCTGTCTGCAGACAGCATTCATTCTGTTCGGCTCCTATAGGATCAGCCTCTGCCTCTTAAGGGTGGGGCCTGCCCCAGTACAATGATGCTTCAGACAGGGTAAATCTGTCCAATTCTAGAATTCAGTGATGGAAAGCTTAATGGACTGACAATAAAAACCCTATTCGCCAATATCAGTTTTATCAGTAAATAAAGGTATAATTTAGGCCACTATATTGGTTTATTCATTCATCTCAATTATGTTTACAACTCAGATGGGAAAGAGGGGTACCATTTATTGCACTTCCTCAAACCTCAACAAATAAAACATGCATGTTCCAAGCTTATTGCCACTAAAGATAAAATAGATCTGTATTTATTCTCATTTTAGGTATTTAGCAAATGAAGTGTCTTGCATCCAGTAATGGATCCAAGAGGATTAGCTCTTCACCTTATTTATGGCCATAGAGTTCATCCTAATGTGCCCATTCATAGCACTTTAGTGACAAAATAGAACAAGCAAGTCAGTAAAAATCCTTCACCATATTTGAAAAACAGTTCAAAGTTTATAATGCCCATTTTGTCAAACTTTAAGAATTTAGATACGTAACATTTTAAGTCAATTTTTTAAATAATATTTTTTAACATAAAAAAAAATGAGGCAGTGAAAAAGGCTATGGTCACCATCACTGAAATTACTGATTGTCTTTGAATAGTAGTAATTACCATTGACTGTATAACAGCAAATATGCTAAATAGTATATATATCAACTCACCTAGTTTTCACAGCTCTCCTCTTAAGTAGATGGTATTATCCTCATTTTATAGCTGAAGAAACAAGCTTAGTGAATTTAGGTAACTTGCTCAAGGTCACCCATCAAATAAGTCACACAGACCAAAGTCTTAAACTACAAATTTCATGCTCTTACTCAATATACTAGTAATCTCCAGCTTGAGTACCTCTTTCTCAAGAGATAGACAATCTACTGAGTCATAGGAAGAAAATAACTTCTATCACTTTTTAACATCTTTTTCACTTCTATTTTTGTTCCATTAACCTAACATAACAATAATACGTGTATGTGATTTATAAATAAATACACATAATTTGGGGATTGTATTACAATTTTAATTTAGCTGCTATAATAAGACCCAGAATAACAGTGGCTTAACTAAGATGTAGGTTCATTTCTCTCTTACTTACAGTCCAGTGTAAGCATTCTAAGGCTAATGTGTCAGCTCCATAGTGTCAGGGCCCTGGCTCCTTTTTGTTTCATTGCTCCTCAAGCATCCCTGGTGTTACCCTCATATCCACATTCCAGAAGAAGAAAGGGACAAGAGGTGGGCAAGCCCTTTCCCTGTAGGGACATAACCCTAAGATTTTACACACTTTTTGTTCACATTCCATTGGCCATAACTTGGCATGTTAACTGCAAGGGAAATTGGGAAATTAGTCCTTATTCTGAGCAGCCACAAACCCAAGTAAATCCTATTACTATGGAAGAAAGGAGGACAAATTTTGGAGTACAACCAGGGAACCTCTGCCACAAGGGTGCATGATTCTATTATAACACTCTTCTGGTATTTCCTACCTCACTGGTACAGAAAGAGGCTAGAGACATGGTCTTAAGAAAACTGTAGCAAGCATAACAAACTGTTTCCACAGTTGGGATTAACTTTAGGGTCATGAGGTTAGAGGGAAAAAGTAACGGTGTGTATACTCCCAGAAGGTGAAGGAAATGTTGGATTTGGAATTCCAGTAACGATTAAGAGGATACAGGTTCTGAAGGTTGGGATTAACTTTAGGGTCATAAGGTTAGAGGGAAAAAGTAACGGTGTGTATACTCCCTGAAGGTGAAGGAAATGTTGGATTTGGAATTCCAGTAACGATTAAGAGGATACAGGTTCTGAACTTTTGCTGCCAAGGTTAGAATCCCAGCTCTGGGTTGTTTAATCCCAGGCACAACTACTTAACCTCCATCTATAAAGCACACCTACCTCATATGACTGTTGTGAGAATTAAGAGATAGTAAAGGACTTGGAACAGATATCATACAAAGGGCCCAATAAATGATAAAGGGCCCAATTGTTACATAGATTGAAAGCCTATTGGAAATCACAGAGAAACTAACAACGGTGAATACAAGAGTTATCAAACGGGATAGGTAAGCCGTTTTTTCACACTTGCTTACAGACCCTTGACCAGCGTGAACTAGTCTCAGTAATCAAATGCACTCTCTTCAGGGCAAACTAGTTCTGATGATACTGAATCAAAACAGCCTTTAGCGTCCAGGTAAGGTACAGGTGAGAGTCCAGAGGGTGGGCAGTCTGGTATATGGTGAGAAGAGTGCTGCCAGTGAAATCCAAAGCTAGTAATCAGATCTTCAGGGGAAAACAGGATCTAGACAACTGCCCCAAGATAGTCACAAATCTTTGCTAGCTCACAGAGGGAAGAATGGGGAAAGAGAAAGTAGGAAAAATGAGGGAATTGAAATCAGAACTGAACTGAAATGCCATAGTTGTTTTTTGGTCAGCAAAGTACAACTAATCTTTAAGCTTGAGGGGGAAAAAGAATAAAGCCACGTATTTCTTACCCCACGTAACCTGCCTCTTCTCTGTATTCCTTTTCTTTAAATTTGCAAGACAGAACAATGGTTGATATCTGAAGATTACTTAAGTGAGGATTTTTAGCAAGCATACATTGTTTTTCCCCTTTCACAAGAACTGATTTTCATTTTAGGTAAAACTTTCCAGAGTGAGATTTGGTTGTTATTGTAAAGTCATTCTTTTCTGAAACTTATTGATCTTATGTTGCATTTTCTCCCAAAGTCAAGTCATTTGAAAAATTAAAACAAAAAAACATATCCACTCTAATAGTAGTAAGCGGTACTCTAGAAAGTGAAAGAAATATTACAATTCTATTATGGAGCTATAATAGAATTTTTAATAATTTTTAATATCCAGAGCTAGACTTCTTTTTATTACTAGACTATACTGTCTTATATTTTAAAATTTATGTGAATACTTTCAAAATTAATTACTCATAAACCTCTTGACTTGCCTATGTAGATATATAAAAAAGTATATTGGGAGGAGGAGTACATAACAATAATTTTAAAAATCCCTTTGATATTATATAACATATTTCTGCCCTCAGAACTGGAATAGTAGCATATCAGAGTAATTCTGAGAAGAGTTCATATAGATTTACATTTACATTAATTTTAAAAATGAAAGAAAAATCAAGCAAGTTTATTAAAAGTTATTTCACTGACTAGTACCTTCTCACAAACACTCCTCCAGAAGACACCTTTTTTTTCACTTGCCTCTTCTCTTTGCTTGACTCACAAGAAGAGTTGTCTTCCTATAAACAAAGAAAAGAGGGTCAAATAAAGTTTTCATGCTAACACACATTTTCATCTTTCTCCATTGTCTATTCAAAAGAAAAAAAATTAAGCATGCTAATATTTTCAACTCTGATTAAATTTCTTTTAGGATTTTATGTAAATAAATTCCCAAATCTGAAGTACTAGTGCATGGTATTGTGATGAATCATAAGGCTGAGAGGCACCTTGAGAAATCATTCAGTCTTATCTCTACATCATTTAGTTCCTACAACTGTACTGTACACTGTATATTGTATACTGTATATCATTTTAGGTTACAAAAAGGAATAAGATCTGGTTCCCACTTAGAAGTCTGCGGTAGAGTAGCAGATAGAAAAGAAAGTGCTTAATTCAGCCCCACCTTCCCTGGTTTCAGGAATCCCTCAAGATCATTAGGGAACTGGATGCAAAGATGTCCAGGAAGAAAAACACTGAGGTGTGGCAGGATTTTAACCTCATCTAACTAGATGGAACTTAAGAAAGAACATAGAAAATATAGAAGAAAAGAGGTAGCTACTTGTCAGATGTAGCCAGTTTTCTAGTGCTTTAATAGAGTTACAAGACCTTCAGAAACAGTAATATTTATTTTCCTTTACCTTTCATATATACTAACTCATTAGAAGGCATTTTAAGGATTCCAAACATTATAAAAATAATGGTTAAATATCAGAGCCCCTACTGACACCAAATATATGTTGTTCTATCAAACCAGGTCTTAACCATACAACTAGTTCAAAAGAAAACATGTGCTTGACCTTCAACAGGCCTCCCAGAAAGTACTCTTTGAAGATTCCAAATTTTCAAATTCCAAAAGTTTCTATATTGGGGGAATATTTTTTACTAAGATTCCTCATTTCCTCATCATGTAGTATAGCCAGAGATATAGTCTCCTTAATATGTATTTTCTCCTAAACTCAGGAAATGAGAACTATATACTGAAATACTGATTATATGAATCATGGTGCTTAGGCACCAAAAGCAATTCTAAATGTAAATGTAGTCTATTACTACAACAAAATTAGACAAAAATCCCAGTGTGAAAATGTATATGTTTTAAATATAACCAGTATTTTTGCCCTAAAATGATTTACAGGCTTGTTGAAGAGATTAATAATTCTACACATGACACTGTTGACAGAGGTTATGGATCTACAAACTGTTGCTTGGGTATACAGAATTCTTACTTTTTAAAAAAGTACATGTAATCTGAGAAGTTCTGGGCAGCATATGAAACAAAAAGAAAATTCCACCTTCTTGCTCAGCAAGACAATTCTTCTTAACAGAGTGTCAAAACAAACTATAACCAAAAAAAAAAAGAGAGAGAGAGAAAGAGAAATCACAAGCTTCTAGAACTTCCCCAGATTAAGAGCTGAACCTGGATAAGCTCATTTAAACTCTCAAAATGCTCCAAGGATCGCTGTAGGCCAACAGGCTAGGATGTCAGAGGTCAAGTAGAAGTCCAGCAGAGACCATATCAAAGTCTAACCCAGTTCCTAACCTTCACAGACAGAAAACAAAGTTAATTTAAACTTGGGAGGTAATCATGGAATATTACCAGTTCTACATCAGCCATTCTTGATTAGCAAACATGGCCTAAACTTTAGACCAATGACCTCCTGATTAATGCTGGTTCTAGAGAGAATCTATGAGTTCACTGTTACATAAATCTCTCTGTGCATAGACATCTCTGCCAAACCTATTATTAGTTCCCAACTAGTTTAAATTTTATAGTAAACATTTTTATTCAAATATAATATACATACCCAAAGAGTACGCATAAAAGAACAATCTGATGAGTTTTTATGAAGTGAACACATGCACATAACCACAACTGAGATCAAGAGATTGAACACACCAGCATCCCAGAAGTCTTCGTTTGACTCCTCTCAGGTACTACTGACTTGATTTATTTTACCTATTTTTGGACTACATTGAATCATACAGTATATACTCTTTTGTATTATCTTCTTTTGCTCAGCATTATGTTTGTGAAATTCATCCATGGTGATATATAGCATAATAACTCATATATTTTCATAGCTGTATAAACCATTGCATAAATGCACCAAAATGTATATACTGATTCTTACTATTAATGGAATTTTGGGATTATTTCTAGTTTGGGGGATATTTATAATAATGCTAATATGGAATTCTTGTACATGTATTGTGCCCATCTGTGTACACCAAGATACAAGTACTAATTCCACTAGGAATTAATGAGTCATAGGTTTGGATATGTTCAGCTTTAATAGGTACTGCCAAATAATTTTCCAAAGTGATTAAGCCAATTTATACTCCCATCAGTGGTGGACAAGAATTCCAGTTACTCCGCATCCTCACCAACACTTCATAATGTTTGTTTTGTTTTGTTTCAATTTTTGCCTTTCTGGTGGGTATATATTGGCATCTTGTTTGGGTTTTAATTTAATTGCTGATAGCAAAGGATTTTGAGTACATTTTCATATGTTTATTGACCACTTGGATATCTTCCTTTGTGAATTGCCTGTTCAAATCTCGCCCAGTTTTTTTACTGGATTGTCTTTTTCATATTGATTTGTGTAAGTTCTTTACACATTCTGGATACAACTTCTTTCTCAGATAGTAGAGAAAAAAGAAAAGGAGAGGAAGGAAGGAAATATCTTTTCCTACACTTTTGCTTGCCTTTTCAAATCTGTTAATATTATCTTTGATGAACTGAAATCTAATTTTAATGAAGTCCATCTAGTCTGTCCATTTTTTTCCTATCCCAAGGCCATGGAGCTACCATACTGTGTCAGGCTTTATCACATCAACTTCAAATTTAAGACATATCTTAAAATATATATTTGAACTTATAGTATATTATCCCAATACAAATAACATTTTAACAAAATTACTATCAATTCTATCTTTAAATTTTCATAAGTTAACCAACTCTATTAAAGAGCTATCATCAAAAGTTCTTTTTGTTTTTTTGGCAGTTGGCAGGTACATGGATCCGAACCCTTGATCTTGATGTTATAACACCATCAAAAATTTTTAAAGACAAATTTTTCAAAATAAATTTTCTCACAAGCACAGTAAGAAAGGGAGGGTGAGAGGTTTATAATGGCAATAACAAATAGTGTTAGAAGCATGGACTTCAGGCTAGGCAGTTAGGTTAAAATCATGGCTACACATCTAACAAACTGTAACTTTACAAATTATTTGAGATTTGGTTTCTTCATTTGTAAAATAAAGATAATATCTGCTGAATATAAAGTCTTGACTCTAAGCCCAACACAAAAGGACTTAATACCTGTTGATAATAACCACAGTGCTACTATTAAGGTAAGTTAGATAATCTCATGAAACAAATTTTTGGAACTGTGGGTAAAGTAAGTGCCCAATCAAGCTGTAATACAAATGATGAAATGCCCTCAGAGTAGTTTTTGGTGGAAAGAGAGGTCATATATGGTTAGGGGGATTAGGAAAGGGGTGATGAACGAGATGGTTCCCAGGAGATTTTGAGAGCAAGAGTTGATGGGGAGACTTCAAGGTATATGGACAAAATGAACAAAGACTTGGTGGTGGGCAAGTGTGGGGTAAGTTGAGAAAAGATAGGCTACATGTAGGAGAATAGATAAAAACAAGGCTGGTGAGGTAAGTTAGGACTGAATACCAAACTGACAAATCAGTACTTTATTCAGGCAAGGAAGATTTTCAATCCAATGAGTGACAAGGAAATCAAGCTGGCTTCAGTGAGTCAAATGGACTTGGATAGGGAAGGACTAGATACAGAAATTCTAACATGATAGTTTGGATAGAAAGGAACAGAAACATAAACCAGGGCAGTGGTGAAAGTACAAGAGTACAAGGGTACTTCAGAAAGATCATACAAAAATTAAATCAAAAGAGAATATGAATACTTCCATGAAGTTCTTGAAGACCACTTGTATGTTCCCATCTAAGAGATGGGCACCCTTTTCATATGGGTTAAAGGAGAAAACAAAGCTAGTCATGGGTAGCTGAGAAAATGATGATGCCATTCATTAATTTAAATATAGAGATTGGGGGGAAAAAATCTAGTCTTGATGTTGCATATGTCAAACTATCTTAAACTATCCTAGAGCTTCTGGTCAAGATGGCAGAATACACGATCCCCAACGTCACTCTCTCCCACAAATCAACCAATTTACAACTATAAAAAAGCAACAACAGCCAAGCTGGGGCCGCTAGAGCTCAGGGGAAGAGGAGGAGAGACCTACAGAGTACATGAAGGTGGGAGAAGCCATGATGAGAGAAAGAAAAACCCCACCAACCGTTTTGAATCCCACCATTTCCAGGCTGGAGCTGCTGAGCGCATGGAGCAGGAGCTGGCAAAAACTGCAGCTGTGCCTTTTGGATGAAGTTGCTTGGAGGTGGCAGGGGAGAAGAGGGCCTTGGTGACCCCGAGGACAGCAATACCACTAAGGGGTTCCAGTGGACCCACACAGGACTGAGGAGCCACAACAACTGAAAAAAAGGAGCCACTCAGAGGCCAGTGAATCATCATAAGGGACCAGAGCATGGCCCCTCCCATGGGAAGTGTTTGGAGCACAGGCAGTGGGGGAGACAGGCCCACTGGGGAGACACTGGGGCACAGCAAGGACAGCTGATCTGCCCCAATCAGTGTAGAAGCCCTCAGAGGAGACTGGTCAGGAATACAGATTTGCATGGGGTGCAGTTTGATGAAAAGACTCAGGCCCAAACCAGTGTTTCTACACAACCCGGGTGCACCAGATTTCACTAGCACTGAAGTATGTATAAAGTCAATCACTAACACCTGAGTTACACAAAAAGCCTTCCCTAGGGAATCAGCAGCAAAGCAGCAATTTAGCTCAACCACAGAGCTCAAGTACTGGTCTGCACAGGAAGTTCCCCCATTTTAGAAGTAAGCAAAGGACAGCAAATTAGTTCCAGCACAGAGTTTGAGTGGTGAAAACAGCAAATAATCCAACACAGAACTGAAAGAAGAAAGAAAATACCCAAAGTACCCACCAGAGACAAAGTTTGATATTAACTAGTAAAGGTCTCATTTCACCAAAGAATACCTATAACACCTAGAAGGACCGGAAGTCCCCTGGGCTACCAAACCAGAAAGGAGGGAGGGCCAAGGACCTCAGCCATGCCCCCTGACACGCATAATCGGTCCCAGGGTGGGGGCCTTGGGCCTTGGCCACACCCTCCGAATGAGCGCAACCACCCCAGCTACGACCACTGAGCCACCACAGGAAGCACCCCAGGCTTTCCCGAGCTGGGGCGGTGGGAGGCCAAGGCCTTCAGTCACGCACCCCCAACACAAGCAACCATCGAAGCAATGACCACCTAGCTGCTGCAGGAGGTGCTCCAGGCTCTCCCGAAGTGGGGCAGTGGGTGGCTGAGGGCCTCAGCAACACACACAGCCAGCCCAGTGACAACCACTGAGCTGCTGCAGGAAGTGCCCCTGGCTCTCCCAAGCCAGGGCAGTGGGAGGCCTCGGGCCTCAAGTCATGTCCCCCAACATGAGCATCCAGCCCAGCAATGACTACCAAGCGCAGCAAGAAGGGCCCCAGGTTCCTGAGCTGGGAAGGTGGAAGGTGAGGGCTTTTGCCACACTCCCCTGACACCTGCACCCAGCCCGGCAATGACCAAGCCATTGCTGGAAACCCCCTGGTCTCTGTGGAAATGTGGGAGGTGCCACAGGCCTCAATCCCGCCCCTCCTCCTTCCTACTTCTTCCTTCACATTTCCTTACCCTTTCCCCTCTCCCCCTCCCTCCCAACTACTCTGCAACATCATAGAATGTAAAAAGAATATTAATAAAATAAAATTATATTAAATTTTTTTTAAAAACTACCCTAAAATTTTTTTTCTGAATTAAAATTATACTAGTGCAGATTCTTGGCGGGGACAGGGAGGGGCATAAGTTTAAAGGTGCAGTTGTATTCAATAATAGGTCCTGACCAGGAGAAAGATTTAGTCAGAGCTTCTTGAAGAATCCATATAAATAAGTCCCAAATGAAAAGTTCATTTATTTATACTTTATATATAATTAGACCTCAAAATAAATATCCTTAGCTACATAGGGTTCTACATATTTATTTATCCATTGACCGTGTCTATTCATCACTAATAGAGAAAATTTAAAAAAGGAAAAAGGAGAAAAGGGAGAAAATAATACAATGAATACTACTATATAGTGAATACCTCTGTGTGCCAGAAATTGCACTCAGGATTTCTACACAATATTTCATTTAACAATACAATTCCACTAGTTGGTATTATTATCCCCCATTTTAAAGATGAGGAAATTGAAATTCAGAGCTTTTGCAGAAGAGAAAATAAGTAATGCCAGAGTTGCAGCTGCCATGAGGTGTTGGTGACATTTGCTTATTTACAAAAACTGGGTATAAGCTAAAGTAAGACTACAAACAACAATGGGCTAGAGTACAGACACCTTAAGTCAGCTCTCCTGCAACCTCGCACATTGTTGCTAGAGAGTGAGGTGTTAGCGAAGCTGGACTGTGGAGTATGAAATCAGACCCAACGTGAGAACAGATGCTTCTGAGCAAGAAAAAGGAATTTCCAAATAGCTAAAAAATTTTTAAGTAGACAATCAGTTTGGCTCAAAAGAAAGTGTGCAGCTTGGGTAATCCCAAAAGATTATCCACCTATGCAGCTGGAGAATAACTTATGTTCCTACCTTTGTGCAGAGTCCCTGCCACAAGGTGGAGAAGAAACAGATTTGAGCATAGGTGGTAAGTTATGAATGATGCTGTGTCCCCTAGACCTCTAGCCTATACCACGTGACTGTACAGATGGCCTCTCTGATACTATATTTTCCCCAGGGGCTAAAGGTGATACAAGAATAGTATTGCAAGCATAAAAAGAATAGATTAATTATTGTCATTAATTATATCCATTGGAAAATCCAGCACTGCTGATACCAAAACCCAGAGAAACTGAGGAAGTATTTGTATTTATATATGCATAGAAATACACATACGTGTTTGTGAGACATAACAAACTGTTAATAGTAGCTTCCTCTGGAGAATGGAACTTGGTATGAGGAAGAACATCTATCCTGTTTATAACATTTCATAACAAGCATGTATATTATTTTAATATATTTAAAGTGGCAATTAAAGAGACTAATGATTAATTTGTGCAAAAGAAAAAGAAGGCAGGAAGATTTTATTAGAAATCAGATTTGAGGTGATACAGGTCTGGAATAAAATGACTGAAGAAAAAACTTCCCAATGGAAAGAAAATATGAAACATACACTGTGTTATGATAAGCTGTCCACAGGGCTATATCATGGCCATCATCACTCACAGGAGAAAGTGAGGGTCAAAGTTTCCCCAGTGTACTTTCTGCCTGCTCTATTCTGAGACTAGATGGCCTAAAAAACAAGCATCACTTGGGGTTTATTGCTGTCACTTTTACTCTGGTTTCTGTATTCCACCCACTTTTCTTTGTATGTTTTCATATCAGTTTCTTTTTAACTTCCTTCTACATATTTGTCCTTCTTATTTGTCACTGTAAGCACTTTTTTATTTTCTAGATATATTCCAAATTCAAAATTTCCTATGAAAAAGCCAAGGCTACGGAGTTAAAAGAGAGACTGAATATTGATCCCACCAGTATTAGCTGTGTGAATTTAGACAAGTCTCTTAACCTCTCTGAGCTTCAGTTTCCTCGTATGTTAAATGGGGCAGGTCAAATGACATATAAGAATACATGCGAAAGAACTTTGTAAAGGTCAAGTGCTACACAAATGTTAGTTTTTATTACTTTGTAATCTGAGAAAAAAAATGCTATAACAACATTTATGCTGGCTCTTTTCTACTCTTGAAACTGCTCTTTGGAAGAGCTGAGGCTTTCTAAAGTGGATTTCACTTAAAGCACTTTATTTTGGTTATTTAGAGTATTAAAATATACAACCTCTCTATTTGTCTCCGAATTCTTATTGATTACTTTGCTTATAATAAATATTTCTCCTTATATGGTACAATAACAACAATAATACTTACTGCACACTTATGAAACAAGTGGCTGTTCTAACCAACATCTATATATGGATGTGTGTGTGTGTGAGAGAGAGAGAGAGAGTTGTATAATTACATATATAATTTTTCATATATATATATTCATTTAATCCTTACATCAGCTCTAGAAAGTATAAATTATCTCCAGTTTATAGCTGAAACACAAAGAGGTTAAATGACTTACCCAAATCAGAAAAGGGTGTAGCCAGGATTCAAACCCAAACAGCCCCAGCCCAAAGCTTGTACTCTTAGCTACTCTTATATGCTATTTCTTGAGAAAAATAAGTGTTATGAAGAATACCAACCATAGCCACAAAGCTAGGGGCCTGAATTTTTTCCAGTGTTTCCTTGAGTTGATCCACCTCTGCTCGACATTCATCCAGTTGACATTCTAATTTTTCTCTACGTAGTCGTTCATACTCCAGTAGACCCTGTAGCTCTTTGATGGTCCTGTCAAAAAATGTTTTTTTAGTCAATCTCCAATGTCAACTATCAATTATTTTTGGCCGTAGTGGAAAGTATCCATGTATTTTATTTAAGGCAAATAAAGAAATCATGTATGTACAACAAATATGTACTTAGGGTCTACTACGAGTTAGCACTGATCTAGGCACTGGGGATAAAATAGTGAACAAAAGGTTAAAATCTGCCCTCCTGGACCTTACCTTAGTAGTGGAAGAAGACAGAAAGTAGAGAAAATAAATAACAAAAGATATTATATGTTAGAAGGTAATAAGTGCTAAGGGAGAAAAAAATAAAACAGGAAATAATATCAAATGTTGTGGAGGAGGAGGTTAGCACATCATACACAGTGGCTAGGGAAGTCTTTACTGAGAAGGGAGTTTCTGAACAAAGTTCTGAAAGAAACAAGAGAGAACCATGTAGCCATCAGGGGAGAGTGTTCCAGACAGAGGGAACAACAAATGCAAAGGCCCCAGGGCAGAAATATGCCTGGTGAAGCACAAGAAAACCAGAGGCCAATGTGGCTGGAGTACTTTAAAGAATAAAAGGGAGAGTAGTGTAGGTCAGAGAGGTAAAAGAAAGCCAGAAGAAGTAGGGCCTTATAAGTCATAGTAAGGACTCTGGCTTCTACTGTGTGAAATGGGAAGCCATTGAAGATGTGAGCAGAGAAATGGGATGATCTGACTTGTTTTAATACGATTACTCTGGATGCTGTGTTGAGAATAGATTAGGGCAGAGGGGTGGAGGTGAAGGGGCAGGGACAGGAAGCTGGGCAACCTATCAGGAGGATATTTACAATAATACAGACGAGAGATGTTGTGACTTTAACCAGGGTTTTTTTCTGCCTTATAGCTGGATGGTGAGGGGAACAGAGCTCCTAAGGCAAGCTGGGTTGGGTGCCAGGTCTCGAGGGCAATCTAAGAGTATTCAGTAGTAGTTCTGGTACAGTGGTGAGTAGGGTTAAGACTGGGGATAGGAAAGAAGAAAGTCAATTGTGGAAGCCTAGAAGCTCAGCAAATAAGTAGGGAAAATCAACCCCAGGACAGTGAGGTTGATCTAAGTAATGGATAACAGCAGAAGCAAAAGGACATCCCCCAAACCAACACTTACCCGGTTTTTCTTTACAACTATATATAAGATCAGAAGTTTGTACCCAAAGAGTAATGTCTCAAGATGCACTTAACACAAAGTAGAGAACAAATGCTAGAGAAGAATTAAAGCACACTCAGGGTTGAATTTAGAAGAAATGCTGCAGTCTCAGTTTATATGAAACTACATTCTGGTACAAAAGCTAAAATAATCTTTTTAAAAAAATTCTTTTCAAAAATCACTTACATCAATAGTATAACCATTTCACACCAATAGGCTATTCTGTGACCACTAGAGTAAAAGTTCCAGTAGGACTACTAAAATCAAATGATCCTAAATATGATTGGAATCACAGACTCAGGCTAAAATCTTGGCTCCGCCCCTGACCCTTACTACACTTTTTGTGACTTTATGCAAGTTACTTAACCTCTATATTAAGACTTGATTTCCTAATCATATAGTGAGATAATAGCTCATGGAGATGTGAAGATTGCAAGAGATAATGTACATAAGGGGCTGATCTAATGCCTGGCATATAACAGTACTCAGAAGTAATACAAGCAGTAGTGGTAATATAGTAGCTGCTTCAGAAGAGAAGCAAAGGAAACAAAAACTTAAAGCTCATTACTAGATAACAAACACTCCCCTGTGAAGTACTTTTCTAAACTAAAAGGCACCTAAGAACTTTGAGCTAGGCTCATAGGCCAAAGCCAATACTAAAACTATTCTATATTTCAAAATATATTTTAAGTAGTTTAGAAGTAGTGGACAGCTACCTATATGATGTGATTTGTGAGACACCAAGAAGAACCCTCATCTAAAAAAAAAAAAAAAACAAAAAGGTCTACCACAGGCTTCCTAGCATCTAAAATTCCATTAAGAGGTAGAGTATTTCAGCCTTAGATTTTGTCTTCTATTTAAATTCCCAGGTACACATCTGTAGAAGGATACACATTAACCCTTATCAAAGATTTTGATATTACTGTAAATACATTTATCAGACCTCTTACTGAGGCTAGATTCAGAAGGAGATGGAGGAAAGGAAAACAGGTTCTAAGAGTATGACAGAAAGAGACAACCAAAGGAAAGGGCAGGGAGAGCAGAGAATGAGGCAGGGAATCCACATGCAGTGCTCTTTAAAGACCCATGTTTGATTAAACTAGAAGTCTCTAAGTAAATAAATAAACAAAGTAGGAGTCTCCTCTCCTGTCTCTTTGTTCCCTGTCCATTCTAGAAAGCAGATGGGCAGGCAGAGAGACAGTGGGAGGAAGGAAGCACAAAGCATCCTCTATTCCAAGAGACATTAATTAATTGGAGAGGTATCCAATGTCCAGAGAGCCAGTTTAGAGTGCAGGAAGTAAAAGGTGAAGACAGCTATGTAACTGCTCACTGCCTCTAGGCACAAGAGCATTCTCAGATGGGTAATACAGTATGGGAACCCAGGACTGGGTCTCAGATTCATGAATGGGCAGTACAGTATCACAAGGATGTTCAGTACTGTGACATCTATGCTGGCTGAAAAGTTCAAAGTAGCTGTGTTCTCAAAAAAACATTAACTCCTTATAGGGTGTCAGTTCTGCAAGATGAAGAGAGTTCTGGAGATTGGATATACAGCAATGCGAGTGTACTTACTACTACTGAACTGTACACTTAAAAATGGTTAAGGTGGTAAATTTTATGGTATGTGTATTTTACTACAAGTTTAAAAAAAAAAATCTTAATTCCTTCTCCATCTGGGGGCTTGGGAGGAAAACAGGATGGAACCTAACACCCTTAGCAGGATGAAATAGTAAGTTGCTGAAAAACAAACCCTCACATGGCATTTAGAGAGGTAACTAAAAAACAAATCATTAAAGTTTTAAGGACATTACTTTTCAGACTCGAGCTGTAGAGGAAAACAGGATGGAACCTAACACCCTTAGCAGGATGAAATAGTAAGTTGCTGAAAAACAAACCCTCACATGGCATTTAAGAGGTAACTAAAAAACAAATCATTAAAGTTTTAAGGACATTACTTTTCAGACTCGAGCTGTTCTTTCTTCTGCTTTAGATCTTCTTTTGTCATCCCTCCCAAGTGTTTATAGTTGCTCTCAGCAATTTCCAAGAGATGTCTCAATTCTACAATTTTCTTATAAGCTCTCACTGCAAGACAGAGTTGAATAGCAACCTAGTTTAGACAGATAACAGCTCATGTGCTCACAGGATGTTGGTCCTCTAAAGCATATTCTTCCTCTAGAGCCACTGTCTGTGTGGTTTGGGGGAGAGGGGGCAATGAAGGGAGGGTTACATATACAGAGAAGGATAAATATCAGTAACAGAATATTAGCATGAGCAAGCAATGAAATACCTAAATGGAGGATTCTTTCCCTGTTATTGGAGTGTGCATCAGATTATTGTGACTGTTAATGATATGAACAAGAAGGTTTAAAGAAGACTAGCAGTGTTTTAGAACTACTGGTATTTTACAGAACCATGCATAAACTCCTGTATGTCAGAAAAACTGAAATATGCTTGATTAATTTAAAACAAACCCAAACTAATCCAGCCCCAAATTCTGTGATTAATCACTTGTCATATCTGTGCAAGAAGATGCTAAGAGAAGGAAGTGTGTTGACAGCTGTTTTGAGCCTTTCTCTATCAAAACTATGATTTTTCCATCTTTTATGGCAATGGTTCTCAACCCGGGATGATTTTCTTCCTCAAAGGACATTCAGCAACATCTGGAGACATTTTTGCTTGACATGACTTGAAGGTGAGGAGGGGGAGGCTGAGCTACTGGCATCTAATAGGTAGAGACTCAGGATGCTACTAAACATTTTACAATGCATGGGACAGCCCCCCTCAACAAAAATAATTATCTGGCCCAAAATGTCAACAGTACAAAAGCTGAGAAATGCTGCTTTACTGGATCAGTTTAGCAAATCATAGCCTCTTCTTCTTAATTTACTTCATTTATCTACCAAGAGATTATCTACCAAGAGTAGGTTCCAAACTGCATACACCAGAATTGGCTGGGGTGCTTTTTAAAAATGTACATGATTGAGCCCCATCCCAGACCTACAAATTCAGGTATCTGTACTTAATAAAAGCTCCTCAGACAATTCTGAGGGGCAGATCGGTTTGGGAACTACCATAACTACTGGTAAGCAAGAAGGTAGAGGAGATTAAGAAAAAAAAAATCACATAAGAAAAGACGGAAAGAACTTATATAATAATTTCTTTAATGTTTGAAAGGCTACATTTTGAAAGACCTGTTCCATGAGGTCCTCAGAGGTTAGAGCTAGGATTAATTGGGATTAGCCCCAGGAAGAAAAATGTCAACTCAGCAAAGCAGAAACTTTTCAACAAAAACAATAAGAACTATCATGTATTTATGGAGTGCCTATGATGTGCAAGACACTACACTAAGTACCGTCTACATTTTAATCCTCATAGGAACTCTGTCAAAAGATAGAAATGATCTCCCTGGGCAACAGTGAGTCAGTCACCTTGTCACTGAAGGTGACTGAGTGGAGGTTAGATGACATGTGATAGGAATGTGGAGCCAGCAGTCAAACCTCATATGGCTACAGGGTTCTATGATGCCACGGCCCTAAACATAAGCCACTAAAAAATGCTCTGAATTGAGGTTCAGTTCCAGGAAGTCTGGAATGACAAGGAATCCAACCAGTCCCTTGTAGGTACTCTGGAAAAAACTAGTGTCCCAAGAGGGGACCATCTAGTCCTTTGAGTTTTCCCCTGAAATAACATTAAATAGGGACAATAAGATCGACATGCCTTCATATGTAGCATCTCTTCACTAGCTGCAAGCACCCCAGCTAGGTACCAGTGAGCCTCACTGTATGGCAAGGGTGCTGACAGTTCATTTGTATCAAGTACACCCCTGTAGGAAAATGTTCTAGTCATGTTCCTTGTCTTTCATAAAACATTTTTCTGAAATTTCTTAATTCCCTGACAATGATCCCCTCACAAGTATCTCTTACTCAAATAATTTCAGAAGAAACAAATCCTACAAGAGCATCTGCTCATTTTCTGCAGTTTTAAGTCCTTGCTCATTCTCAATGTAACTAATAAAAATAAATCTAAGCACAAGCAAGAAAATACAAAATAGATAAACTGGACTTCATCAAAATTAAAAACTTTTGCGCTGCCAAGGATGCCATCAAGAAAGTTAAAAGACAACCTAAGAATGGGAGAGAATATCTGCAAATCATTTATCTGAAAAGTAACTTGTTTCCAAAAGTACTTTTACAAATTAATATTAAAAAGATAAACAACTCAGTTGAAAAACAGCCAAAGAATTTAAATAGACTTTTCTTCAAAAGAAAATATACAACTGGTCAATGAGCACATGAAAAGATACCCAACATCATTAGTCATTAGGGAAACACCAAGCAAAACTACAATGAGATACCACTTCACACCCATTAAAATGGCTATGATCAATAAGAGAAACAATAGCAAGTATTGGCAAGGATGTGGAGAAATTTTTTTTTTTCCTTTTTGTCTTTTTTCATGTCCGGCAACGGACCGCAACCCTCAGTGTTGCGCCCGTACCGGACCGGGACCGGCAACGGGATCACAACCCTCGGTGCCGCGCCCGCCCCTCGCTCAGCCAGTGAGCGGGAACCGGTCTGTATGTGGGATCCGAACCCTCGGCGGGAGCCCCACCACGCTCCCAAGCGGCGCACTGTAGCAGTGCGCCACCGGGCCGGCCAAGAAATTTTAACACTCATACATTGCTGGTGGGAATGTAAAATGGCACAGCCACTTTGGAAAACAGTTTGGCAGTTCCTCAGAATGTTAAACACAGAGTTATCACGTGACCCAGCAATTCCAGTCCTAGGTATACAGCCAAGAAAAATGAAAATACATGTACGCAAAAACATGTGCACAAATGTTCATAGCAGCATTATTCATAATAGCCAAAATGTGGAAACAACTAAAATGTCCATCAACTGAAGAATGGATATATAAAATGTGATATAACCATATAAGAATATTATTTGGCAATAAAATGAAGTACTGATCCATGCTACAATGTGTATGAACCTTGAAAACAGCATGTTAGGTTAAAGAAAAGATGACATGTGGTATGACTACATTCACATAAAAGTGTAGAATAAGCAAATCTATAGAGGCAGAAAGTAGATTAGCAATTGCCTAGAGATGGGGGTTGGAAGGAAAGTATGGATGGAAGTAATAGGAAGTGACTACTACAGGGGGTGCGGTTTCTTTCTGGGGTGATAGAAATGACATAAAATTGTGGTAACAGTTGTACAAATCAGTGAATATACTAAAAGCCATTAAACCGTATACCTTATATGGGTATGTGAATTTTATCTCTATAAAGCTGTTTGTAAAAAGCTATCAGGAAATTCTGAAAGGATCATTAACTCTGAGCCTCGCTGTGGGGTGATCTGGGTGGGCTGTTGGTTGCGAGCATCTGAAGTCAGCATCTTCAGGTTCTCCCTTGGTTACATTCATCAGGGAGGAAGCTTCCACTCTCCCATGGAGAGTAAAGATCTGCCTGACAATGTTCTAGGATCGATTAAAAATTTTTTTAAAAGAAAGAAAAAAGAAATCTATACATAAATTAGAAATTTTCATTAAAAAATACAGTTTGGGTACAACTAATTCTTCCTGCCAGAATAACTAAAAACACTCTCCAGAGATAAAGAGGAAAAGAATTGACAATTTACTGAGCCTCTACCTGAAGACAGGAACATCTCATTCTCTAGTGCATTAATTAAATCCTTATAACAACTCTGTTGGGTGACATTATATTACTATTCTTACTTTTACAGGTGAGGAAACTGAGGCTCGGAGAGAAACACAACTAGAAAGTGGTAAAGCTGTGATGTCTGAATCTAACACCCAAGCTCTACTCACTCACTTACAGCTGCCTTTGTTTTGGTTAGCCTCAGTTCAGACAGATCCTTCTCACCTTTCTTCTATGAGAGAGCCCCTTACAGTTTACAGAACACTTCCACATGCATTCACAGGAAGCCTATGAGATAGGTAATATCTCTGTTCTATCTTAAGAAACACTCATTTAGTATAATATCCTTATTTGATAATTAAAGAGCCTGAGATTCAGAGAAGCTAAGTTGTTCAGATTTTACACAGTGACTGGCTACACACAGTTTCTTAAGGGAGAACAGAGCTATTACCTATCTCATAGGCTTCCTGTGAAAGCATGTGGAAGTGTTCTGTAAACTGTTAACACTACCAAAATGTAAATTGTATTATCATCAGGATTTTGGAGAATAAAAATTCTGGTAGTAGAGTTATATGCCAGTAGCTGAACCACAGGTAGACATGCTATAGAAATTGAAATCTGCTCCAACTACTAGACTTCAATTTAGTTCCAATATGTTCAATAATAAACACATGATTTTTATATATGAGATAAGTCATTGTCCTACTGGCTCCTGTATATCTATCTGCATCAATCTAATCACATGGCTCCTTGTGAGAAGGAAGTGCTCCCACTTTTACCCACCAATTTGGAGTACTTTAATGTTTAACCATTTGTTATGAACTGAATGTGTCTCACTAAAATTCATATATTTCAGCCCTAACCTCCAATGTGATGGTATTTGGAGATAGGGTCTTTGGAAGGTAATTGGGGTTAGATGACAAGAGGTTAGGGCCCTATATAACCTGCCCTTATAAAAACAGACACCAGAGAGCTTGCTCATGCTCTCTCTCTGCCATGTGGGGACATGGCCTTATCAAAGTCAGAAAGAAAGCCCACACCAGAAACTGATCCCACTGAATTTTCATCTGGGAGTTCTATCCTCCAGAACTGTGAGAAAATAAATTTCTGTTGTTTAAGCCACCTAGTATATGGTAGTTTGTTATGGCAGCTAGAGCAAAATAAGACACCAATTAAATAATAAGATTGTCCCTAAGATAGTATTCATGAAAATTAAATCTTTGGCATATATGTCTCCATAATGCAATTAGTATGAAAGAAAAAAAAGTAAAAACTATAAAACTATTTTAGAAAACTCATGAACAAATATGGTAGGTTATTAATCTTGCTGTTCCAGTTCTCAAAGAGCAGATGATTGACACTTTCTCAGCTTTAAAAAGTAAAAAATTCGGTCAGTTTAGGAAACAAGCAAATTTGTTAAACCTAGCACCTAGAACAGCACCTAACACATTAACAGTTACTGAATAAATACACATTGAATGATGGAAGAGAAAAAAACTGATCACAATTTCATACTATGAGTATACTGGGCAGGTTCAGAATGACTTCTGAATTCTAGAAATCAGGACTATTTCTAGTGCACTACCATAGCCCTTAGCCTAGGGCTATGCACACAGTATATATTAAAATATATAAATCTGAATATATTTGGATGAATATATTGAATGAACATTTAATGAATGGATGAATGGAATGTCTTCCTTGTCCATTTTTCCTATCTAAATCCTGGCTGCCCTTCAAGGCAAAGCCCAAATTTCATTTCTGAAAAGCCTTCACTGCTACTGTATTCAGAGTGAATAGTCCTTTCAAATAGAATCTAAGAGTCGCCCTTGATTACCCTCAATCTCTTAACACCTCATATCCAAATCTATCAGCAAATCCTATCATCTCTCTTCTAAGTACATCCAAATCTCAGCATTTCTCACCATCTCCATCATCTCCACTCTAGTCCAAGCCATAATCAACTCTCTCCCGAACTTAAGGCCTTCCCTGCTTCCACTCTTGCCTTAAAGGAAAATGGGCTTTTCACAGCACTGGAAATCTGGAGGCAAAAACAGTCAAGGCTAACTGGATCCTGGCTTGTCTTCTCCCCACCGTCATCCAGATAAAGTATGGTATTACTGATGCTGAGTTTGGTTCAAGAACCAGAAAATATTTATAAATATTATTTTAAAGGAAAATACATAGATTGTTAAGGTAACCTCTTCTGAAATGGTAACAAAAGCCTCTAGGATAAAAAGGCAAAAGCTAAACAAGAATGGGGATTTCCAGTATCACTGGTAGTTAAAGGCCTACAACAGGAACTCTAGAATACCTGCACAGATTTCCTACATTCCTAATCTGCTCTTGTACAATTCCAATTTAGCATCCTTGTCAAATTTAAATTATATCAGGAACTTCGTCCAACCTTATATTGGCATGTGAATATGTTCTCTTCCTACCTAATTCATAGCCCAGCTGAAAATGCTCTTCCCCACCCCCCAGTCTATTATCCATGCAACAGCTATTGTATTATTTTTAAACATGAATCAGATCACATCATTCCCTACCCCAAACCCCACCAATGGCTTTCTACTTACAATAAAATCTAAATCTGAAATCTTTATTACGCCCCTGTATGATCTGATTGGGCCCCTGCTTACCTCTCCAACTTTATCTGTCACCACTTCCCTAGCGATTCTACTTCAGCCACACTGATCATGCTCAGTTCCACTTCATGGCCTTTACATATACTGCTCCCTTTGCTTGGAAGGTTCTTCCATGATCTTCATAAGGCTCACTCTCATCATTCACATCTCTTCTCAAATGTCAGCCCCTCAGAGATGCCTAATGGTTATCTTATCTACAGCACCACCCTATTTTATTTTCTTTATATATCTGTTTTCTTATCAATTATGTATTTATCACCCTTTCCTCCTGATCACCACTACCATCAGAATGTAAATTCCTTTATATTATTCACTGTTTCTCCAATAACTATAACAGTGTCTGGCACACACTAGACAATCAATAAATATATGATGCTATTATTAACTGTAAAAATAGCTTGCCAACTAGCCATGGAAATCCTTGAGATGTCTCTATCCCTGTTTCCTATGAACCACTTAAATATATTTTTCTCTTATATAACTTTTCCCCTCTTGAGGGACAGAGATGATGTCTTATGTTTTTGTTATGTTCAACAACTGCTAGAACAAAAATTTGTATTAGTTCTGGTTCACCAAAAAATATCAAATTATTTTAGTTTGTAGACAGTAATCACCTTTACAATAATTTCCAAATTTGTAGTAAAAAGTGGCTATGGTATTTCTGACAAGATAAATCATGACAGAGACGCACACTTACTTCTGGCCTCTGTTTTATCCGACTCACTCAGACATACATCGTCCTTGGCGTCAGTGCTCCCCTCAACACCATGTCTTACAAAAAACTTTGTATCATTCTCATCAATTTCAATCTCATCGTCTATGTCATATTTCTGCAGCCTCTCTAATAGCTTCACTGCTGCCAAATGGGCAAACCTGTAGAAAAATATAAATAGTTAACCAGATCCACGATCTTCTTCAAATTGAAACTGCAGTTTACACGCAACTTAGGGAATTATACTCTGCACATTCTGCCGTCAACCCGCCCACCAGTCAAGGAGAAAAACTGTATTTGAAGGTGACAATTTGACATATATTCAGCTATATAGGAAACTCAAAAAGTTACTGGACATTAAGGACAAGTATTCTTACCAAAGATTGATTCCATAACTTTTACTGACAAAAATCTACTGGGAGAAGAAATCCAATATCAAAAGAAATTTGGTATGCTCCCAAACAGAGCTGCCCAACTGAATAGAAAGCCCAGAACCACCTACTTGATAGTATCTAAATTTACAACCATTTGTTGGCCTCACGTAGACTGTAGAATTCATTCTGGTCCTGGTTCTAGTTTTAGGAATAACTATAGCTCTAGCCCCCTTAATTTTCATCCTTCCTCAACCCAAAGCATTTGGCATAGCTTTGAAATTTAATGGAAAGATAATGACCTTTTCGTACACATTTTCTATCTCTTTGCTCTTAGACCCACATCTCTACAAAGCTTCCAGTAATATAATCTTGATTCTGGAGTTTGATAGAGTTTGGATATGTTGAATTCCCAAAGCTCATGTTGAAATCTGATCCCCAACTTGTCAGTGTTGGGAGCTTGTTTGGGTCAGGGGGGCGATCCCTCACGAACAGATTAATACCCTGGGTTGGGAGTGGGTAGGGAACGAATTCATGCTCTATTAGTTCCTGTGAGAGCTGGTTGTTCAAAGGACCCCAGTGCCTCCCCTCCCTCTCTCTCTTGCTTCTTCTCACCATGTGATCTGCTTGCATGGCTGGCTGCCTGCTGCTTTGCGCCATGAGTAGAAGCAGCCTGAGACCTGCGCAAGATGCATATGTCCCAGAATTGTGAGCCAAATAAACCTCTTTTCTTTATAAATTACCCAGTCTTGGGTATTCTGTTATAGCAACACAAAAATGGACTAATATAGAGTTGTTGTTGTTCTGATTGCATGGAATGTGCATATTTTTTCCACAATTTTGCTAACTGGAATGTTTAATACTTTCTCTTAGGACATGGACAATTACTCACTAAACACAAAAACCTCAAGTTCTATTTTTTCCCCATACTTAACATAACCACACACATATATATACGTACATCCTTACTTTTTACCAGGTACCACTAAAGATATAGTCATGAACATATGCAGAAAGTAGTAAGGTTACAGACTTCATTATATCTCTACAACTAGATTATAATTTAACAGCAGTCATTTACTAAGGTAGTGCTTTATGCCAGCTTCAACGTGATCTCTATAATAATGCTATACTCACACCTAGCATTTTGGTGCATAAATGAGAAAAAAGTGGGGAACCAGAAATTATGGAAAACAGCAGATATACCCATGGTACTCAATCACTCATGTGTTATAGGCATAAAAATATACAAACAGATCAACAGACAAGATAGAGTTCAGAAATAAGCCCTCATGTATATGGACAACTGATTTTGACAAAAGCACAAAGGCACTGGAGAAAGGAAAGCCTTTTCAACAAATAGTGCTTTTCAACAAATATTGGATATCCATATACAAAAAAAGAACTTGGATGTATAGCTTGTGCCATATAAAAAAATTAACTCAAAATGGATCATAGACCTCAATGTAAAATCTAAAACTATATAACTTCTAGAAGAAAACATGGCAAAAAAAAAAATCTTTGTGATTTTGTATTACTCAAAGATTTCTTAGGGGGCCGGCCCGGTGGCTCACTGCTACAGTGCGCCGCTTGGGAGCGCGGCGGCGCTCCCGCTGAGGGTTCGGATCCCACATACAGACCAGCGCTCACTGGCTGAGCGAGGTGCGGGAGCGACACCGAGGGTTGCGATCCCATTGCCAGTCCCGGTCCAGTACGGGCGCGACACTGAGGGTTGCGATCTGTTGCCGGTCACGAAAAAAGACAAAAAGGAAAAAAAAAAAGAAAGATTTCTTAGATGACACCAAAAGATTAATACATAAAAGAACAAACTGGTAAAAACTTTTGCTCCTCAAAGACATTGTCAGACAATGATAAAACAAGCCACAACTGGGAGAAAATCTTTGCAAGGCATATATCTGAGAAAGAACTAGTATCAAGAATATGTAAAGAACCCTTCAAACTCAACAGTAAGAAAACAATACAATTTTTGAAAGTGAGCAAAAGATCTGAATAGTCAATTCACCAAAGAAAATATACACATGGCAAATACATATATAAAAAAGATGCTCAAAATCATTTTTCATTAGAAAAAGGCAAATTAAAACCAGAAGGAGATACCACTACATACCTATTGGAATTACTAAAATAAACCTGACAATATCAAATGCTGGTGAGAATGAGGAGCAATGGAAAATTATCCACTGCTGGTGGGAATGCAAATTGGTAGGGACACTTTGGAAGGCACTTTGGCAGTTTCTTATAAACATACACTCTGTATATGGCCCAGCAATCCTATTCTTAGATATTTATCCAAGGAATTAAAAGCTTATGTTGGCACAAAAAACCTATACATAATTGATTATAGCAGGTTTATTCATAATCATCAAAAAATGGATACGATCAAGATTGCCTTCAATAGGTGAGTGGACAATTGAACTAAGGAATAGTATGCAATTCTACATACAATGGAACACTACTCAGTAATAAGAAATAAATGAACTACTAACACACATAGATGAATCTCAAAATAATTATGCTGAGGGAAAGATGCCAGACATAAGTACATACTGTATGATTCCATTTATATAAAACTCCAGAAAATGCAAACTAATCTACAGTGACAGAAAGCAGATCAATGTCTGTTTGGGCAAGGGACACTGAGGAGCAGTGGGAGGGAGAGAGATTATAAAGTGGCAGCAGGAGACTTTTGGTGATGAACACACGTTCACTATCTTGATTGTATGATGGTTTCTCAGGTGTATATATACATGTATCAAAACTCATTGGTTTGGGGCCGGCCCGGTGGCGCACTGCTACAGTGCGCCGCTTGGGAAGTGCGGTGGCGCTCCCGCCGAGGGTTCGGATCCCACATACAGACCGGCCGCTCACTGGCTGAGCAAGGAGCGGGGGCAATGCCGAGGGTTGCGATCCCGTAGTCGGTCCCGGTCCGGTACAGGCGCAACACTGAGGGTTGCGGTCCGTTGCCGGTCATGAAAAAAGACAAAAAGACAAAAAAAAAAAAAAAACTCATTGGTTTGTGCTCTACAAATATGTGCATTTGACTATGTCAATTATACCTTGATAAAGCTGTTTTAAAAAGTAAAATAGACCTGAGGTGATAATGATCTCAAGTATGTGATACAACAAAACCACATTCCAAGGCATCAAAGAAGTCTCACAAACAAAATTTTAAGGAATGTGAGCTCACAAACAAAATCTGCACAGCAACTGAGTGCATGATTGGACCCCAGAATCCTGTCAAGCTTCCTCTACCATTGTTAGCCCACACTCCTACTTTAGATTCAAGCAGTTTTGAACCACATGCAGATCCTCACACATACAAAGAGTTATCTTACCACTCCTCCTCTTCGAGTGTCAACATAAATGCTACTTCCTCAAAAAAAAAGTTTTCCCTAACTATCTAAATTCTGTCACCTGCAGTTTCCTTCATACTTCTTACCATCATCTGTATTAATACTTCTCCCCCACAACTTTCAAGTATGAAGGCTTAGGCACTTTTTCTCCTATGTTCTTACTGTACCTTATACATACCATGTAATGTGGTATAATGATTATAATCAATAAGAATTTTGCTTGCATATTTGTCTCTCCATAAGACCACAAGCTCATTGAGGGCAAGGGCTGTAATCATCTTTGTAATCCTAATGCTAACCACAGTACCTGGAACATGGTAAATATACAGGAAGCTGAGTGAAAAAACCTAATGAACAAACAGATAGAATAAACACTCCTTGAGGATCTAGCCTGAATGAGGTAGTGGTATTTAATAACAGGTGCTACATTTAATTCAAATGTAAATACCAAAATATGTTTCAAAATCCACGTGATTTATTTTTCTATTATCGATGTTCATTGTTCCTTTTTATCACACGATGTTTCTCAACAGAGTGCTACAGGCATTTGGGTGGGACAATTCATCTTGCACCACTGTTCTGAGTACTGCAGAATGTTTAACATTCCTGGACCTGACTCATTAAATGCTAGTGATGGTCACCAGTCATTGTGACAACCCACCCCCATCTTCCCAAATGCCCCTACCCTAAGAAAAGGGGACAACACTACCTCCCAGTTGAGAAATCACTGCTTTAGAGAGAAGAGCTGATATGCCAAATGTCAATGCCGCTTGAAAAACTGTCATTCTATCTGCATTTGACTGAGTCTTCTAAAATCCCATTAAATCCTCAGAGATCTCTGAGTACAACAGTATATATGCTAAACATTAAAAACAAAAGAGAGGAGCAAGGCAAATAGGGACCTATACCTCTTAGCCACATCACTGGGTCTCTCCCCTGCTTTGTTGGTAATATTACTGTCAGCTCCCATTTTAATTAACCACTGCAAACACTCTATGTGGCCTTGTCCGGCAGCTGTTAAAAAAAAAAAAAGGAAACACACACGAGTATGAGTTATTATTAGTAGTAACAATTTTCTAAAATTTTGAACAGTACCATTATAGAGTATTTTCTTAAGAATTGATCCTTGCAGAAACCAACAAAAGTAGGTTGGGCAAATGTTATTTTCTCCATTTCATTTATTCATTCATTAGATAAACATTTAATCAAATATCTACTGTGCTCAGGCCCTATACAGAGAATTTTACATACAAATATAAAAGCTGAAGCCCAAAGAGGCTGTTTATTTAACATCACATAGCTAGCAAATAATGGATTTGAAACTAGAATCTAGGTTCGTCTAATCCTTATCCAGTGCTTGTTTCCTGCTACATGTAACTCCTAAGTAATCTTGTGTTACAGTGGAATGTGAGCACATCCCAGCCACAGGGATGTACCTAGACTTTGAAAATCTTACTCCATCATATATATGTATGTATGTGTACATATGAATGTATGTATATGTATACGTGTGTGTGTGTGTGTGTGTGTGTGTGTGTGTATCTTATTTCAGTCTATGGTATTTTGTTATATCAGCACCAGTAAACTAATACAGGGGCTTTGTTTCAGGGAACCACTTTTCTTAAAAAAAAAAAAAAAAAGCAAACTTTTTTTCTTAATGTACATGTTAAGCCTCTTCCCCATTCTCAACTCCCACAGTGGCAAGCTTAACTCCTGGAAAGCTAGCAGAGATGGATAGAGTGAGATACTCCAAGTCTACAGCAGAGAGCTCACCAATCTGGAGACCTCTCGCTGTGTAAGAGAAAACTCCCATTGCATTCCCCCATTCCCATTCCACCCTACCCCTATAAAACTATTGGTACACATGGGGCTTAGATGCTATACTTGAGATATATTACAGATTAAACAAAGTTTAAGAATTAAGCTAAAAACCTAACTAATGGGAATATAATATGTGATTTGGAGACTTCCAGAAGTTATTTATAAAATAAAGTCCAATTTAAACACATGATTATATTAACAAGCCTATCTTCTTACTCTAAGAGTTTTACACAAATCACCTGCCATCAGCTCATGAAGAAACTTTTAACATAGTATAATAAATGAAGCAGAATGAAAATTTCAGGTGCAATAGTTAAAGATTTGGTTTTTGGTTTTATAAATAAGAGGAAGATTGACATGCATCAATTCCTAGAGTCCCGACATTGAGTCAACAATTTGACGAAGTCTGATTAAAAACCAAAAACACTGATCAGTATTACAGAATTCCACATGGAAAAAAGGAGAGTGCAGACAAAAGTAGGAAACATCTTGAAAATGTGTTCAAATCTAAAGTTCACTGATATTTCTATGCAAGTAAAAAGATTCTTAAGAATAGAAGGTGTGAAGAAGACAATTCTGCCATGACTTTTTTCAAAAGATATGGTTTCTATTTTAGCATGAATTAATAGGTCAGTTATCAAATGTTATTTTAAGAAACTCCTCTAGTGGCGCATTTCACGTTATTACTAACATGAGAGCCACAATAGAAATTCTATTGTAATTACCCTCCAATGTGATAATGCATGAATGTTCAGCATCATAAAAGAAAAATTACACTTGAATTAATACCATATAACTGTATACAATATAATGTAGACTGATATTGGCCAGGACATCAGAAAAAAATTTATGTTTTCATGTGTTTCTGATGGAAACTTTTAAAGGTGAATAACTCAGCAGCACTTGAGTCAGAACTGAAAATAAAGCAGGAATCATAACTCACCTTTATGCATAAGAGTTGATCCATTATCGTCACGCTCATTAATATTGATTACTCCATCTTCTACTAATTTCTTAACCATCTCCAAATTACCCTTAGAGGCAGCCACATGACCTGGAAATGCTAAAGCTATCAATAAAAAATTCAGCATTTCAGTAAATACACAAGTTTATTCTTTCCTCTGCCTTAAACTGTCACACATCTCAGGTTTTAATATTACCTCAAATATGAGGCTGTTATATTGGAATGAGTTCAGCTGATGCGATGACAAGTAATAAAGAGAGAATCATAAAATAAGATTATTACTAATTGTGCTGCCCTTCCCCTCCTCAGGATTTCAAACATGCCAGAAGTATTGCACCAGAACTATTTTTAGCCATGTTCTCTTTCTCTCTCATGCCACTACAAAACACAAGGGGATGGTCATTGTCAACCCTTCGTATAAAGACACACTTGGCCTCAAGCCCTGCATTTGCACAGAACACTGCCTCTCTGCTTGCAAGGAAACAAAGACTAGAAGAGAGAAGTGTGTGTGTGTGTTCACATATACACGTAAACACACATACACACACCCCAAAAATATCTAACCTGGTGCCTAGCACATGATAGATACTTGATAAAATGTCTCTAATGATAATAATTACATATATTGAGCCCTCACTAAATGTCAGGCACAGTAGCAAACACTTGTTAAAGTCACTTTAGTTAACCCTCTTAACAAATCTGAGATATAGCTATTCTCATTTTTACATATGAAAAGAAAAAACCTAGAATAGCCAAAGAATTTTTTTTTTTTTTTTTAAAGATGACCGGTAAGGGGAACGTAACCCTTGACTTGGTGTTGTCAGCACCACGCTCAGGCAGTGAGCGAACCAGCCATCCCTATGTGGGATCCGAACCCGTGGCCTTGGTGTTATCAGCACCGCACTCTACCGAGTGAGCCACAGGCCGGCCCCAAAGAATATTTTTAAAAGAACAAAGTGGAGGACTTATACTACCTGATTTTAAGACTTACAATAAAGCTACAGTAATCAAGGCAGTATAGTAACAGCAAACAAATGGACACAGATCAATAAGACAGAATACAGAGACAAGTAATAGATCCATACATTTATGATAACTGGTTATTGAAAAGGTGTCAAGACATTTCAATAGGTAAAGGGGAGTCTTTCCAAAAAATGGTGTTAGAACAACTAGCTGTACGTAAAAAAAGTTTTTTAAATTTTAAATTGACACCTTATTTCATTTCATACACAAAACTTAACTTGATATAGATCAAAGATCTAAATGAAGAAGCAAAAACTATAAAACTTCCTGAAGAAAATATGGAAGGATATCTTGCTGATCTTGGGATAGGCAAATAATTCATAGATAGAATCAAAAAAAACTATCCATAAAAAACTGATAAACTGTACCTCACCAAAATTTAAAACTTTTGCTCTTTGAAAGACACTAGTAAGAAAACAAAAAGGTAACTTTCTGAATGGGAAAAAATATTTGCAATATATTTATCTCACAAAGGTCTTGTGTCTAGAATATATAAAAACTCTCAAAACTAGTAATAAGTAGACAACCCAATAAAAAAAAAGAAAAAGATTGAATAAACACTTCAGAAAAGATGATATATGAATGCCCAATAAACATATGAAAAGATTCTTAACATCATTAGCTATCAAAGAAATGTAAATCAAAACCATGATAAGATAACACTAAGACACGCATTAGAATTGCTAACATAAAATGGATTGACGGTATCAAATGTTGACAAGGATGTGGAGTGAATGGAATTTCCATACATTTCTGGTGAGGAATTTAAAATGATACAACTATTTTGGAAAACAGTTTGACAGCTTCTTAAACATACATTTACCATAAGTCTCACTCCTAAGTATTTACCAAGAAAAATGAAAATATATGTCTACATAAATGTTCATAGCAGCCTTATTTAATAATAGCACAAAACTGGAAATAATCCAAACACTCACCAGCAAGTAAATGGATAAATAAAATGTGGCATCCATATAATGGAATACTACTCAGCAATAGAAAGGAATGAATTACTAATATACACAACATGGATCAATCTCAAAATGACTCCATTTATACTATATAAAACTCTAGAAAATGCAAACTAATCTATAGTGACAGAAAGCAGATCAGTGGTTGTATGGGGCCAAGCTACAAAGAGAGATGAACTATAAGGGAGTAGGAAAAAACCTTTCTAGTGATGGAAATGTTTTGAATCTTGATTGTTGTAGTGAATTCATGAGTGTATACATATGTCAAAATTCATCAGATTGCATACTTTAATTCAGATTAAATAAACTATCCTCTAGTATATCCTCTAAAGCTGTTTTTTTAGAGGGTACCATAATTAAAGTGAAAAAACAAGCCACATGCGAGAGAGAATATTGGTATCAGATAAAAATCCATAAATGACTGGTATCAAGAATATATACAGAGTAAAAAAATTAAAATAAAAAAGAATATATAGAGAACTCAGATAAATTATTAAGAAAAAGACAAAAAACACAATTTTTTTTTTTTTTAAAGATGACTGGTAAGGGGATCTTATCCCTCGACTTGGTGTTGTCAGCACCAAGCTCTCCCAAGTGAGCTAACCGGCCATCCCTATATAGGGAAAAGATGACTGGTAAGGGGATCTTATCCCTCGACTTGGTGTTGTCAGCACCAAGCTCTCCCAAGTGAGCCATGGGCTGGCCCTTAAAGAACACAATTTTTAAAAGGGGCAGGCAATTAATAGGAAACTAGAATATTCAATAAATTTATGAAAAGATGTTCCACCTCATTAGTAATCAAGAAAATGTGCATAAAGAACACAATTTTTAAAAGGGGCAGGCAATTAATAGGAAACTGGAATATTCAATAAATTTATGAAAAGATGTTCCACCTCATTAGTAATCAAGAAAATGTGCATATCAAAACACAAATTAGACCTTTTCACACATAGCCTATTAGTAAAAGTTTGAGAGTCTACCCATATGGAATACTGTGTTTATTTAAATCCTCACCAAACATTGCTGATGGGAGTGTTAATTTCTACAACTACTTTGATGAAGAATGTAGCAATATCTTTTATATTGAAGACAGACGTACCCCCCCAACCAAAACCAAAACTTAAGAGTAGAGTTTCCCAACTATTTACCAGTGCCCTTGGTTAGAAGTATAGCAGAGCTCTTAACTCTGATCTTCAGAGAAGACAGGGAGAACCTTAAGAAGTTCATCCAATGATCCTAGTGTGCCATAAAATATTACCATTTTCTATGTGGCTATGTGTGAAAAAGATTGGAAAGTACTTCTCTAAAGAAACTCTTGTACATAAGGAGACATGTACAAAAATATCCATTACCACATCGATTGTAATGGTGAAAAATTGTAAGAAACCTAAATGTCAAATGGAGAAGAGATAAATAACGGTTTTAGAAGAACAGAATTAAATAAACAAAACAAACAAGCAATATAGGTACATCTATTAACCTAATAATCTCAAAATAATAATATTTTGTGAACAAAGCAAGTCACAGAAGGATATGTACTTTTTATGCCGTTTTTATTAAGTTTTAAAAGAAGTTTCAAAGACTGCCAGTAGCCCACCAAAATTCCTGACCTTCAACAGCAATAGAGATGCAGCTGGAATGAGGCTTCCCAGCTAGGTAAGGAATTATCTGGGCTTCCTTGCAGCTATTTATGGTCTTGTGACTAACTCTTGCCAATGAAATGTTAGCAAAAGTGATGACTGCAATTTCCACCTTGGAAGTCTCTGGTCCTAGGCTTACACCCTTGTTCCTTCCCCACCCTCTGCTGGATTAGGAACAACTAGTGAGAGCTTGGAAGAAAACGGTTTCCTGAAAGACTATATGAAATAGATTCACTTTCTAACCCCAGCTGTCATATACAGAAATAAACTTCTATATCATGTAAGCCACTGAATTTTAGGAATCCTTTGTTGTAGCAGTTTAGCCTTTTACCCTAACAAATATATAAAATAACGTGATATATTTTTCATGAATATATATTATGTACCTAAAATACAAAACCATAGAATGGAATGATGAATCTAAAACAATTGTTTACCCTTGAGGGGGAAGAAAAGGTAAAGGCATTAGGGAAAAAGACCCAAGAGACTTCAACTCTATATTTTATCCTTAAATTTAGTGATACAAACAGTGCTCATTATGTTAATCTCTATATATATTTGTCTAAAATAGTTCATAATAAAGAATTTGGATGAATGTGTGGACAAGAGTATGTAATAAATTTTAATATAACATTTGCCTTATAACTTCTTTCTTTTCCTCTTCCATTGATTCTATTTATATCATCATTACCATCTTATTATTATTATTTTTATTATTATATGCTAAAACATTTCAGGTTAATTACTTACTTTCCTGATCTTCTGGATCATTTCCTTCATACTTAGTCCCCTGGATAAACTGTAAAATGTTCTGCTTAAAGAACCTCTGGGCCAGATCCAATACATTTTCTCCATTATCATTGAAGGCTTTTAAACCTTGTGTTGCACTGCTCATTCTACTGAGTAAGAACTTAAAACAGTGAAGGTGGCCCTCCATGGCTGCTAAGTGAACTATAGGTAAGGGGAAAAAAAAGAATTTAATTTTAAAATTGAAATTATAATAACTTGAAAAAAAAATAACACTTTAGCTCTAATCCTTATAGAGAATGACTATCTTTGCCCCATATGACAGGGACTTTCCCATTTTTCCAGTCTTCATCTCTTTACACAGTCAGCCTTCTAGTCATGCCAAAGCAGTAGACTAAATGGTTGAATGGTTACACTTACTGGGAGTGCAGAGAGACAAGATGAGGGTCACCAAAGAGCAGGCCCCAGAAAATTATCTTAAAGAGTAAAATCCCAATTATGCAGCTTATAATTACATCAGAAAATGCTTATGATGTAAGATAAATAAATAAATAAAATTTAGTATTTGGGGGAAAAAGTGGAAGAAATAAACCAAAAAGTCACTATGCAAATATAACTGATACTTTATCACTATGCCTTTGTCACTTTTGTATAACAATTTATTATTTTCATTATGAACAAGAAGACTGGATCAAAACTGCAGACTAAGCACACACACTGACCTCACTATTTCTACCCTAAATCCTTGAAAATAATAGGAAATATATTTTTTAAAGCCACAAAGAACTAAAGAAACAAACAAGAATGCCATGTACAAAACAAGAAATTTTAAGGAATCCCTAAAGAAAGTATATTGGGACCAGACTAAGTGACAGCCATAACCCAAACCTTCTGCAAAAAAAAAAAAAAAGGAATGGTTCTGAGGGTATAACAAGCTTAGAGGCAATAATTTTAAAGACTAAGAGAGTCTTTACATCTCTTAAGAAGTGACTATTTGGGAAATAAGCTAAATCTATGTGCAAACTTTGTGGAGAAGCACGGCAGTGCCCAACTGGCCAGTAGACCTCAAGAGAAACAAGAAGCCCCAGTGTCCAGAAGGTAAGTTGCTGGCACATACCACTCCACCCTTGGTCAGCTGCTCCTTCCACCAAACAACTCCCCCTGAAACTTAAGACTCCTCTAACTGCCTATTCATCATATACGCTTACATTTCTAACTTAACACATCTGTATTAGTCTGTTTACGTTGCTTATAACAAAATACCTGAAACTGCGTGATTTATAAAGAAAAATGACATTTAAGGCTTATAGTTTCTGAGGCTGGGAAGTCCAAAGCCCATCTGGTGGTGGCAACAGTGACCCAAGGGTCTCACATTTCAAGATGGTGGAAGCAGAGAGAGGAGAGAGACAGCAAAAGGCAGACTCTCCTCTTCTTTTAAAGCCCTCAGAACCACACCCCTGACCACCATTTTAATGAATTCACTACTGCAGGTTCCTACAACCCAATCACCTCTTCAAGGTTCCACCTTTCAATTACCATAATAAGATTTCCTACCCTCTTAACAGTCACAGTGGGAGCTAAGTTTCTAATACATAAAACTGGGGGAACACGATTCAAGCTTCAGGGAGTTGTGGGGAAACATAAATCAATATACTACAACATCAGAACTTGGGGAACACGATTCAAGCTTCAGGGAGTTGTGGGGAAACATAAATCAATATACTACAACATCAGAAACTGAACTCCTTATCCTCCTTGCATATTTTCCTCACTTAGTCTTCCCCATCCAAGTTAATGGACACTCCCTCCTATCCATGTTGTTCACGCCAAAAACCTTGAAGCTATCCTTGACTCCCCTTTCTGTCACTCCACACATTTAATCCACTGGCACATCCTATTGCCTGCTTCAAAATATAAACAGAACCCAATTATTTTTCACTATATTTGCTGTCTCTACATTATCCAATCCAAATAGTAGCCTAAATTACTGCATTAGACTCCTACCTGCTCTCCCTATTTTTATCCTTGCCATCCCCACGCCCTCACTGCAGTCTATTATGAACATGATAATCAAAACAATCCTCTTGAACATAAGTCAGATTATGTCACTTCTGTGCTCCAAACCCTCCAAAGGCTTCTGTGACCTCTCTGTACTTCCTCATCTATTATTCACCCCCTCATTTCTGTTTTGACCACACTGACTTGCTGTTACTCAAACACACCAGGCACACTTCTGCCTCAGGAGCTTTACACTTGTTACCTCTTCCTGAAATGTTCTTCCCCCAGGATAGCCACAAGACTTTACCTTATTGTCACTTCCTCAGTGAAGGCTTTCCTGACCACCCTACTTAAACTTCATCCTCTCTAATAACTCTCTACTACTCTTTCCTACTATGTATTTATCCAAACACATATCCCTACTTAATATAATATATATTTTGCTCATTTGTTTTGATGATTGTCTGTCTCTCCCATCACCACCACATGAAGGCAGGGACTTTGTTTTATTTGCTGTGATCACCAGCACCTACAAGCAGGACTGAAACATAGGAGGTGGTCAATAAATGTATGTCAAATTAATGATTTTTTTGAGAGACGTTTGAACACAAGCAGTACAGTCCTGAGGCCACATTCTTAACACTTCTACATTATATTATAAAAAATATACTAAACATGGTTATAAGAGAAAGAAGTTAGATTTTTTTTAATGAGCATACAAGAGACTAAAAAGGATCAGGCATATTTGACAAAAAACAGCATAAAAATGAAAGTGACCCCTATCTTGTACTACACATAGAAAAGTCAGTTCCAGCTGCTTTGGGTATCTAAATGTAATGGTAAAACAACAGAATTTCTAAAAGATAATATTAAGGAATGTCTTCATGACCATAGGGTACAGAAAGATTTTTTTTGAACAGGATACAGAAAGCAGTAGCCATGAAGGAAGAGATTATTAAACTGAATTACAATAAAATTAAAACTTCTATTAATCAAAAGATAACTTAAAAAAATGAAAAAGCAAGCCATATAGTGGAAAAGATAATTGCATGAAAAGATATTTGCAACACATGTAACTGACAAAGAACTTATATCTAGAATATATAAAAAATTCCTACAATTCAATTAGAAAAAGATAGATGACCCAATAAAAAACAGGCAAAAGATTTGAACTGGTAATTCACACAAAAAAATGACCAAATGGCCATTAAACACACAAAATGATGTTCAACATCTTTACTCATCAGGGAAATTATAAATTAAAACCACAATGAAATATTACTATAAAACCATCAGAATGACTAAAACTAAAAAAACTAGTAATATCAAGTGTTAATGAGAAAGTGGAGCATCTGAAACTAGTGGGTGTGTAAATTGATACAACCAGTTGGGAAAAGCTAAGAAAGCCAGACACAAAAGAATACCAATGTCTTATTTTATTCCACAGAGTTCAAAAAGTGAAAAAATGAATTTATATGTTAGAATTTAGTGATTAATTTTGAAGGGGATAAGCAACTGGAAAGACTTCTGGGTGGTAGTAACAGTCTATTTTTGATCAGAATGATGGTTACAGAGAAGTATTCATTTGTGAAAAGTCAATAATCTGTACATTTGAATTGGGTACTTTTCTGTATACATGCTACACTTTCAATTTTTAAAAAATATTTTTAAATGAACAAAATAAGAAGCTAAAAAGAGAATGAGAGCAAAATTAACTCATTTTCAGATACACAAAAATTGACCAACAGACCTTCATTAAATGAACACTAAAATAATGTACTTCAGAAAGAAGCAAAAAGATCCCAGATCTTTTTAAAGGGCTAGAAGATGAGGCCAGGGAGGAGCCAAATTATGAAGGTCCAGCATGCCAAACTAAGGAGTCAGAGGCTCCACAAAAATCCAGGGAGATTCTAAACAGCAAAGTGATTTGATCAGACCTGTTCATATTAGTCTGCCTGGACTTCCCCTTCATGTGTTTGCTTCTTAAGATTCCTTTAAGACATAACTCAAATATCGTTTTCATTCCAACCTCACTGATCTATCCCTCTTCTGAATTTCTACGGCATTTCTTAAAGAAGATATGGTGTCTAGAGCCTAGGTTTCAACTGGCCAGCTTATTGCAGGTTAGACAACTACAGAAGCAAATTAACTCAAATATACTAGTTTAAAAAATAAAAAAGTTGTCTGTTGGGCCAAGAGGTACAAAGTTAAAAAATAAGGACAATAGACTGTAGATAAAGAAAAAAAATCTGGTGGGAAGAGCAGATCTATATTTAATTTTGCTAATTTCTCTTTTGCTGATATGGTTTCAGAAAAAAAAGAAAACCAATCACCTGAGTACCTAACATAGGCATAAGATAAAAAATATTCATGTCAACATGTTTACTACTTCAGTTTTGTGAGGAACTAATAGAATGATGAATTTAAATTTCTTAAACATGATCAAACATTTAAAAGTTTACATTAATGAAAAATTAAAATAATTTTTTTTGTTGAATACCTGGAAGGTTTCCATTGTAGTCCACATCTTCTATGCCACATCCCCATTTAATAAGAAGTTGCAAACAGCCAAGCCGCCCGTGAAAAGCTGCATAATGTACAGGTCTCCATTCTCTCTTATCAGTCACACTGGGATCCTAGAAGTAATATTCACAAGGACTCATTTTCTTTCCATTTTGCAAGGAAAACCCTAAAACTAGCCACTTAATTCCGTAAATGAGAATTGGAGGCTGTTTTTAAAACTGAGACAAACGCAAATATAATAGAAAAACTTAACTGCAGCTACTGATTTGAACACATGAGTTAATAAGATACGAGTAAAACTGTATAAAATAGACTTTTTAAAAAGAACAAATCCAGTCACATGAAATAGTTTTTAAAAAGGAACTTAACTAGTCATTTTACTAGCCACAGATTCCAGACCAATAAAATGAAAGGGATGGATTTAAATAATCAAATCATATCATTGAGAACATAAACAAAAAGTTAATGAAAAAATATTTAAAGGCTTTTCACTTTTTCTCTAACTATAGAAACACCAACTATTACCATAATGTCTTCAATATACGTGGTTCTTTTTTTTATAAAAAGTTATTTTTTTTACAACCACAGGGTAATATTAAAAATAAATATTGCAATAAATAAAATTTCTGGAGAAATAAATCATTTTCTAAATTAGTGTAGAAGTAAGAGTTTCAAAAGAAACACATACATAGACACACAGAAATTCATAAAGATTTACAGCCACCTAGTTAAAATTTGTTTGGAAGATTCAGAAACTTCCCAGTTAAACTCTGAACTGGAATGAAGAACTCACAGCCTCTAAAGTACAGTATACTACTAAACAGGTTTTTTTGAGAGATAGGGGAAGATTTGTCTGAATTATTGCTCCCATGTTTAAAGATGGAAAAGCTAAAGTGAATTTACTTTCCCAAAGTCATATATGGGGTTTAAAAAGTCAGAAAGAGATAACCAATCTACCAAATGCTATTCCATCTATATGATTACACGTTATCACATTATATGATTGTCCTCACCACTCCACTTCGGAGCAGTATTTGTAAAGTGAAAGAATGTCCATGAGTTGCAGCAAGGTGTAAAGGTGTGCATCCACGATCATCTTGAGATGTCATATTTGCTCTATTGATCATAAGGGCCTAAAAATAGAGAAACAGGAATGAGTCTGCATGAATACGAATGTTAAAGCATAAATGCAGATGCAGATTTTTTAAAGGCAAGCAATTTATTAACTTATAGCTAAATTATTATATATGTTCTTACATAAATGTTATAAGCAAACTGTGAGAAATTCTTAGCTAATCCTAAGAAAATGCTTAAAGTCTTTTTCAACATTTTCTAGAAAACATTTATAATACCTGATTTTACATTCTGATTTAAGCATGTACATACAATTTATAAGGCACAATTTTCACAAGCTCAGATTAATAACCATGAAGTTAAAATACTTTAATGCTAAGCTAAGCTAATGAAACTGAAATTTAAACTTCTATTTCAAAAGCAGACCCTTTTATTAGCTGGGTTTTGAACACAATAAAAGGAATTAATCATTAAAGTAACTAGTCTAAGCTCCAAATCAAGCTTCTAACTGCATCTAAGGAGGTTCCATCAGACTTTGCAGTTGGCCCAGTTTCTATCAATGGGTTGTATCATATACATAGCACACTCGTCTATATAATACACAGAGTAATTGGTTTAAAAGAATTATTAGTCCCAATCAAAATCCCAGAAAGTTATTGTGTGAACATCAACAAGATAATTCTAAAGTTTATATGAAGAGGAAAAAGATCCAGAACAGCCAACACAGTATTGAAGAAGAACAAAATTGGATGATCAATACTACCAGACTTAAGTCTTACAATAAAGCTACAGTAATCAAGACAGTGTGGTACTGACCAATGAACAGACAAATAGGTCAATGGAACTGACCAGAGATCATAGAAATAGATGTACATAAATATAGTTAACTTACCATTGACAAAAGAGCAAAGGCAATGCAATAGAGAAAAGACTGTCTTTTCAATAAATGTTGCTGGAACAACCAGACATCACACACACACACACACACACACACACAGAATCTAGATACAGACCTTCCACCCTTCAAAAATTAATTTAAAATGGACCACAGACCTAAATGCAAAACATGAAACAATAAAACACCTGGAAGACAGCATAGGAGAAAATCCAAATGGCCTAGGGTTTGGCAATGGTTTTATAGCAAAAGGCACAATCCATGAAAGAAAGAAATGATAAATTGGACTTCATTAAACTAAAAATTGCTGCACTACAAAAGACACTGTCAAGAGAATAAAAAGAAAATTCACAAACTGCGAGATACATTTGCAAAAGACATACCGGATAAGGGACTGTTGTCCATAACATACAAATAACTTAAAATTCAACAACAAAAAAAGAAGCAACCCAATTTAAAAATGGGCCAAAGACCTAAACAGACACCTCACCAAAGATATACAGGTAACAAATAAGTATATGAAAAGATGCTCCACATTAAATGTCACCAGGGAAATGTAAATTAAAACAAGATAATACCATGCATCTATTAGAATGGCCAAAATCCAGAACGCTGAAAATACTGAATATTGGCGAGGATGTGGGCAACAAAAACTCTCACTCATTGCTGGTTGTGAATGCAAAATGGTACAGCTACTTTGGAAGACAATTTGGCAGTTTTTCACAAAATTGTACATAATCTTACCATACAATCCTGCACTTGCACTCCTTGGTATTTACCCTAAGGAGCTGAAAACTTATGTCCACACAAAAACCTAAACATGGATGTTTACAGCAGCTTTAATCATAATTGCCAAAACTTGGAAGCAACTTCATTAGGTGCCTGGACAAACAAACTGTAGTACATCCAGAAAACAGAATATTATTCAGCACTAAAAAGAAATGAGCGTCAAGCCATACTACTGAGTGAATGAAGTCAGTCTGAAAAGGCTACATGCTGTATGATTCCAACTACATGACATTCTGGAAAAGGCAAACCTATGGAGACAGTAAACAGATTAGTGGTTGCCAGCCATGAGAGGGAAAGGGAAGGATGAATAGGTGGAACACAGAGGATTAGGGTAGTGAAACTATAATGGTAGACACATGTCGTTATACATTTGTTCAAACCCATAGAATATACAACACCAAGAGTAAACTCTAATGTATACTATGGACTTTGGGTGATTATGATGTGTCAATGTAGGTTCATCAAATGATGTAACAAATGTACCATCCCAGTGGAGTATGTGGATAACTAAGGATGCTGTGCATGTGTGGAGACAGGGTAAATGGCAATCTCTGTATCTTCCGCTCCATTTTGCTGAATCTAAAACTGCTCTAAAAAAAATTATTAGTTTTTTTCTCCATCAGCCTTTTTTTTTTTAGTGACTGGGTGGTACAGGGATCAAACCCTGGACCTTGGTGATGTCAATGCCACGCTCTTACTAACTGAGCTAACTGGAAAACCCCTCATTTTGGGGTTTTTTTTTTTCCTTTTTCTTTTTCTTTTTAACCAGTCTACATTTACCAGTATCTCAGCAAACATTTAGGTTTACTCAGCCATAATTTCTATTAAGAGTTTTAGGAAGAATAATCTCCATGATATTGTCCGATTCCCATTAACTAACTAGCCAATAATCATAATAAACGATATATTGAGTGCTTACTGTGTTTTAAAAGTCATGAAGAATATGAAGACCTATCATCCTAGGGAATTAGGACATACATAGAGATGAAGATGATTAATCAACTATACAAAGTGGTCTTTCATAAGCAACAACTATATAGTATAGTAATAAAAAAGCACTACAAAAGCTCTCAGATAAGAGAGATCACTTTGAGGAAGAGAAGGAAAATCAAGGGAGAGGAATTAGGGAATTAGGACATACGTAGAGATGAAGATGATTAATCAACTATACAAAGTGGTCTTTCATAAGCAACAACTATATAGTATAGTAATAAAAAAGCACCACAAAAGCTCTCAGATAAGAGAGATCACTTTGAGGAAGAGAAGGAAAATCAAGGGAGAGGAAGTGACTTTAACTAATTCATTTGATCCTGATGTCCCTTAAAGTTACAAGACAGTAGTAACTTTACAATGGTTGGACCTACAATTTTTCCACTTTACAATGGTGTGAAATATGGTTTCTACTCCTTCAGTAGAAACCATATTTCAAGTATTATATAACCACTCTCTTTTTCATTTTTTGTACAGTATCCAGTAAATTACGTAAGATATTTAACACTTTATTATAAAATCGGCTTTGTGTTAGATAATTTTGTCCAACTTTAGGCTAATGTAAGTGTTCTGAGCATATTCAAGACATGCTAGGCTAAGCTATGATGTTCAGTAGGTTAGGTGTATTAAACACATTTCTGCCAATATTTTCAACTTAAGATGGATTTATCAGGACATAACCCCATCATAAGTCAAGAAGCAACTACACTGTATTTTCTCCTTCCTCTCATTGCCTAGTTTCTCAAATTAATACCTTGATGCTTCAACTTCAAATCCACCTGCAAACTGGTTGCCATCCCTATTACTGCATAAAAATACAGCCAACCTCCCCCTATAGGGAGTACTAGTCCCCTTAGTTTTATCCTGTAACTGACATTCTGCCTACCTTCTTAAAATAAAGTTCTTAGCTCACTTCCACAGCCATAATTGATCCTGGCTCTCCTATCTTTCTGATCTCCCTTCTCTGAAATCTTTACTCATGTCTGTTTCCTCCCATACCTACTACTAACATTCTTCAACATTCAGTCTTCAACACTCTAAACTCTTCTCTATACTTAATTATTCCTGAAATCTTTGTCTTCAGCACTCTTTTCAACTTCCTGGACCTTCTCTACCTGAATGACCCAGAGGTACCTTAAACTCAACATGTGCCAAATTGAAGTCAACATCTTTCCCTCCAAATCTTCTCTGCCTTCCAGATTTCCCTATCCATTGTATCATAATTAGTCATTCTAACTGAAACCTTTAAATTCTCATTATATGCTGTCAATGCCTGTTTTGCAAGACATCTTGACTAATTTTCTTTCTTTCCCTCTGCCACCACCTGATTTTATCCTCTCTGGTTAGTGATAACAACAAAAATCTCTAACTGGTCTTCTTACCTTTAAACTGTCTCTTCATTTCTGGTAATCCTGGACACACGTTGCCAGAAAAATTTCCTTAAATACTGCTTTCATTACCTCTTTCCCTGTTAATCTCTATGTGAATGTATATGTATGTGTACATACAAACATATATACTCCCTTTCCTACAGATGAACCCAAAATCTTTATTCTACTTCTAAGACATTTTAACAAATCTGGCCTATCCAAACTTAGTTCATAACAATCCACACCACCAACCATCTATACTCAGTCAAACTCATATAATGATATATTCCCTGAACACATCTCCATTTTCCAGTTCAGGGCCTTTACATAGAAGTATAGCACAGAGGTTAATAGGACAAGTCTAGGTTCAAATCCTGTCTCTGTCACTTGCTTAGGCAAGGTACTTAACACTCTGAATCTGTTTCCTAATCTATAAAAAGGGTAACCATAGAACTGCTGTGTTAAATGAGATGATACATGAGAGACTGTGATTGACACATAATAAATGTCCAGTAGATGATAATCATTATTTTGATTTGCTCTTCACATATTCCTTGCCTACAATGCTTCCTCACTACTTAACTCTTTAAAATCAATCCATTCTTAAAAGCCTTGGCTGATGTTTTATTTTCTCCTTTTATGATTCCTCTACCTCTTCCTAAGTTCTACAATTCTTCTCACCTATACTTTTCATTAGAATCTTAATCATAGACTTTGCTTTGTATTGTTTTGTAACTCACTGAGTTCCTGTCACTTCAAACAGAATCTCAGGCTTCTTACAGGCAGGGACTATTTGCTTATATGATTCTGTATTCCTCCAAATTCCAGTCTATTTCAGTACACTGATTAAATCTAATTATTCTAACAAACCAGATTCTGCCAAGTATTAATGTGTTGCCCTGGCCAGGAAATTCATTTAGTAGTGAATTTTAGGCATGACAAGTTCTTAGTCTGTTAGGGCTACTATGACAAAACACCATAAACTGGGTAGCTTAAAAACAACAGAAATTTATTTCTCACAGTTCTGGAGTCCGGGAAGTACAAGCTCAAGGTGCTGGCAGATTCTGTTTCTTGGAAGGACCTGGTCCTCACAGATGGTGCCTTCTCATACATCCTTATATGGTGAAAGGAGCTAGCTAGCTCTTTGAGGCCTCTTTTATAAGGGCACTAATCACCTCCCAAAAGGTCCCACTCCCAATATCATCACCATGGAGGGGTTAAGATTTCAACATATTTATTTTGAGGGGATACAAATATCCAAACCATAGCAGCAAGCTATAAAGGAGATAATCTGGGCATGTCTCTGACATCTCTCAAAACCATCCGAACAGACAGCCAATTACTTCAGAGACAAAAGGATCTCTGGTTTCATACCACTTATTTAAGTGGATAGTTGATATCAAATTATCTGAGTCATGGAATCCAGTTAAGTTCTTGTTTAGGAAATATACCTAAATCTATTAGATCAAATAATTAAAATAATAGACCAACAAAACTATGCTAAAATAACTGAATTCACTGAATTAATAAAAAGAAACCAAAGTTATTATTACCTGCATACAAGCATCCTGACCCCGGATTGCAGCTATGTGAGCTGCTGTCCAACCTCTCGTAGTTACTTGTGTGATATCAGCTCCATGCCAAAGCAGCCAATGAAGACACTAAGTTAAGAAAATAACTGTGTTAACAAGTGATAAGGTAGATGTTTTTAACATTTTAAAAAATTTTTATCTTTTAAAATAGTTTTTTCTGTATATCTCTTAAATTTAGCCTATTAGTATGAAATTTCCACTGTAGCCTGAGAAGCATCATAAGTGAATGAGGGAACAAGGTGTAAGAAAAACAAAAGCACAAGCACAACAACATGGTAGCCAACAGTTGGCCTAATTGTTGGGTAAATGATACGAAGTAGTGAAAACTGTGGCAAACTGGACACCACATTCCTTGTCTAGAAGGTGTAACACTATTCATTTACAATCAGTTGCTTCTGTAAGTGAAATGCTGATCCAATGTTGTTAAATATTCTGTTTGACCAACACTGTGCAAGCCAAACAAAACATACCAATGTCCCAAATTCAATCAAAGGCTGCCTGTTTGCAATCTCTACCACAGATTTTTCAGTGGTTCCAGGAGCTTTTGTGCCAGAGCAAACATTCTTATTCCAATCGTATATTCTAAAAAAATGGCTTATTAAACAAGAAAAAAGAGGAAGGACATCAAATGCATCTTAAGATTTTTAAAAATTACCCTAAGTCTCAATATAATACAGATTGGCTTGGAGGTCTGTGCTACATATGGGGTACTGTCTTCAGTTCAAGTTCGTAGATTCTACCTCCAAGAAGCCTCTTTCTTTTTAAAAGAATTGATTGTATTATTGGGTTACATTCTCACATTGGTCACAGCCATATCATTTGTTGAAAAGGCTTATCATTTAGGTAATGTTTTCCTATCAGAGATTAATGACCAATAAGATATTTATTTTAAAAGGTCAACCTCACTAATAATCACAGTAAGTCATTTATTTATTCACTGAATATTTACAGAGAGACTAATATGTGCTAGTGCTTACCACTCATTGTTCAGGTACTAGAGAATAAAGCCACTGTAAACATTCATATACTCACTTTGCATTTCTCTTGGATAAATATGTAGAAGAGGTTTTGTTAGGACATAAAATAAGTATATGGTTAACTTTATAAAAAAACCACCTTCGGGGCCGGCCCGTGGCTCACTCGGTAGAGTGCGGTGCTGATAACACCAAGGCCACGGGTTCGGATCCTATATAGGGTAAATATGTAGAAGAGGTTTTGTTAGGACATAAAATAAGTATATGGTTAACTTTATAAAAAAACCACCTTCGGATCCGTGTACTAGTCAGTGCAAAAAAAAAAAAAATCTGCCCCACTGTTTTGCAAAGTGGTTATACCATTTTACATTCCCACCAACAACGCATGAGAGTTTCAGTTTCTCCATGTCCCTGTCAACACTTGATATAGTCACTTCTTTTTATTTTGGGTGGTTGGGAGGTTGTTGCCATTTTTATAGGTGTGTAGTGGCATCTTGTGGTTTAAATTTGCATTTCCCTAGAGCACACCCTTGTAACACCAAGGTCAAGGGTTTGGTTCCCAGTACTGGCCAGCTGCCAAAAACAAAAAACAAAACAAATAAATAAATTTGCATTTCCCTAACAGCTAATGATGTTGAACATCTTTTCGTATGCTTATCTGTCATCCATATGTCCTCTTTGAGAAAGTGTCTATTGAAATCTTTTACCCATTAAAATTTTTTTTTTCTTACTGTTGAGTTCTGAAAGTTCCTTATACAATCTGGCTACGCGTTTTTAGTCAGGAATATGATTTGCAAAGACTTTATCCTATGTTTTCTTCTAGAAGTTTTATAAGTCTAAGATTTACATTTATCTATTACCTGTTTTGAATAAATTTTTACATATGGTGCCAGATATGGGTCAAGGTTCATTTTCTTACATATAAATGTCCAATTGTGCCAGCACCATTTAATGAAAATACTATCTGTTCTCCACTGAATTACATTTGCATTTTTGTCAAAAAAAAATCAACTGGCCAATCATCAGAAATGGCTAAGTGAGGAACCTGGCAAATCCTCCACAAGAACCAATGATCAAGCTAGACAAAATTGTCAAAAACAAACATTTAAAGACTCTAGAAATTGACCAAAGGCATAAATAAAATGTGAGGCATTTATTCAAGAAAATCTACTGAATCTCAGTAAGAACAGGGAGACTCTGTGGTGTTCTTAGCCTGGGTCTACAATTATCCTCTATCCCCAGCTCCATAAAGAATAAAGAAGTCCTACTAGGGTGGACAGCTCCATTGCCCTGCTAGTAGGAGTAACTTTATTTGGAACTGAACATGAAAAATTCCATGCCCAGGTACATTGTCAAAAACAATTCTGATCTCATGGCGAACAATCTGGGAAAAGCAACATCAGAGCTAGCCTGATGTCATGATACTGGTTAGAGCAAGCAATAAAACTAAAGGCCACCCAAAAAATTAATAGGGAAATCTAAAAAATGAGACAGCCAAGTGGGTCTTCCTAAGATTCCATTTATCCTTTGTAATCTAAAAAGTTGTATGCATGTACAAGACTGCTCACACTCAGGAAAGACTGAAGCGGGCCTAAATTGGCTAGTCATCCCTGGCTAACCACAAGGCCTTGCAAACACATTAAAAAAAAAAAAAAGTTGAGCTGACTTGTAAATTGCTTTGAAAACATTCCTCAAGACACACACAGACCCATCAGTAAAATATGAAATCTTTACTGGCTCGAAGTATTTTAGCACATCCTCTGACCAATCACTAGCTGACCAGTAAACTATACTGACCCAGAAGTGATCCTCTAGAAAGTCAGGCTTAAAGAAAAACACAACAATTAAAAACAAGAAGAAGAAGAAGCCGAGCAAACATCAGCAACCACACACTGTGGGAGAAACAGACTTCACACAATTAGTCCAGACAAGTCACTAAAAAAAACAAAAAGGGCTGGTCGGTTAACTCAGTTTGTTAGACCATGATGTAGTACCCAGACCAAGGATTTGGATCTCCCATACTGGCCAGCTGTAAAAACAGAAACAAAAACAAACAAACAGTAACAACCACCCCTGGGCAGGGGATGGGGGAGAAGGATCAGAATCCAGAGTTGCTACGATATATTATCTAAAATGCCCAGTTTTCAAAATGTCAGGTCAAACTAAAAACTTCTAAGTCATACAAAGAAAACAAGAATGTGTAACCCACACACATGAAAAAAGGCTCTGAACAGAAACTGTCCCTGAGGGGGCCCAGGTATTAGATTTAGCAAGACTTCAGGGCAGCTGTTATAAATATGTTCAGAGAATTAAAAAAAACTATGTTTAAAGAATTGAAGGAAAGTATGATGACAATGACTCATCACAGAAAAATATAGGTAAAGACAGAAATTATAAAAGAACCAAATGGAAATTCTGGAATTGAAAGTTATATCTGTAATGAAAAGTTCACTAGAAGGGGCTCAATAGCAGATATCATCTGACAGAAGAAAAAATAAAGACTAATTAAGTATAGCTTTCACCAATTGCTAATATAGTGATTATTTTATACTACTAACATGTAAGTATCACAAGTCTTAACAAATTTCAGAAAGGGTAACAAAATGTAAGTGTCAATGCAGTACTCAAGGAGAGATTTAAGAGATGATCTTTAAGCAGAAATAAAGGCACTAAAATCTTTTGGTTAATAGTTATTTTCATTAAAAATTCCACAACATTTCTTGAACATCTGCTATGCAGTATGCTAGACACTAAAATATAAATATAAATTTAATTCAACAAATTTAGCAATATAACAAACATTTATCAAGAAACTACAGTGTGACCCAATATGCCAGATACTAACATCCATGCTAGATGTTATGTAAAAAAGATGAATAAGATCCAAATGGTAACTTCAAAGAACTCAAAATATAATAGAGAATACAATTCAACGAGCAATACAATTTTTAAAATGTGTAAGATTTAGGGGTAACACTAAGTAGCTAGTTGAGGGATACTGAGGGGGAATACACAGAAGGCTTTAACAAGTTGGTGCTTCCTGACCTGGGCTTCAACCAGGTAATCAGCAGGAAGAGGTGAGAACAGTACGAAATAATAGACTAGTTTGGGAAAAGATAATAGTTACTAGTACTCCAATAAATAAAACGAGTTGATGGGAGATGAGGTTGGAGAGATAAGTTGTACCGTGTTAAATAGTTTGAACTTTATCCTACAGCAGACAGAGAATCACTACAGGGTTTTAAGTAATATCAGATTTTAGTTTTACAGAGAAAACTTTGTATATAGGATATAGAGTAGAGGTGGATGAGACAAGAAAAGAAGAAAATCAATTATATGTAAGGCAATGGCTATGAGGATGAAGAGGACAAATTCGGGAGACAAAGATGGAACAGAACAAACTGATGTAGTGACCAGTTCTCACTGCATCAATGTGCATCATAAAGTGCACCTTCACCTAGACATATGTTGATAATGTGTTTTGCTTCTCTGAAACACTGAGACAACTCAATAATAATTCAAAGGCTATTACCCTGGAAAGCTAAGAAAGGGAGGGAAAAGAACAATGGTTTTAGTTTCAGACCAATTGAATTTGAGATGCCAGTCAGATATGCATAAGCTATTGATTAAGCATCTGATACATAATCCAAAAGTCAGGAGAGAAAGCAAATAAATGAATTACGTAGAAGTGATAAAGCCAAAGAAGTATAAAAGACTGCCTGGAGAGAGAGTATAAAGTAGGAAAGAGAAGGCCAATGGCAGAAGTGTAAAGAATACCTACATATATACAGAGTAGGGAGGGTAAGTTAACCAAAGAAGACTAAGTGAGAGTAATCAGAGATGCTGAAAGGGTACCAGGAAAGAGATGAAATAAACGGTATATAAAGATGTCCTCTTTGAATATGGCAGAGTAAAATCAGTATTTTTCCCCTTCTCTCCAAAATTACCCAAAAACAAAGACCAAGAAAAACAAAAAGAAAACTCCAACTTTGATGAAATTAGAAGACATCTGTAACCCAACCACAAAACAGATGATAAAGCTGCAGATTGAACAAGGATGTGGGAGGAAACAGCAGAGAGATACCTACCCTGGGCTATAAGCTCACAAAAAACCATCAAGGTACTTTTTTCCCAAGTGAGAAGAATCCTCTGACAGGTCAAAGCAAAACTCCCTTCTTCACAACAATTCAAGTGATAGAGACACAAACTGATAGAGATTCTCCAGACCAGATTTAGTTACAAGAAGCAGAGAAGTTCAACAACAAAGGAGAAATCACAGAAAACAGCCATATTTGTAGAAAGTAGCCTGTGTTTGTGTGGCAGGGGTGAAAAAGAGAATGACCTACTATGGCTTACAGGCTGGGGAAATGTTGTAACTAAAAATAAGCCCCGCACACACAACCTTGAATAATGAGAAAAATTCCAGTTTTGTACACAGTCCAAAAATAAGAAGACTTGCATAAAAATATTCACTTAAGCATTGTCTGTACCAGTTAAAATTGAAACAATTAAATATACTTCAATAGGAAAATGTACACCGAGGTAAAAGATTCAGATCCCTGTACTGGCCAGCCACCAAAAAAAAAAAAAAAAAAAAAAAAACCCCAACAAAAAAAGAAAAATGGATATATTCTGATATCATTCTAAGAATAAACTATTACAACATGGCTGAAAGAAATGAATTAGAGTCCACACATGTAACCACATGGTTAAAACTCAAAAGCATATTGCCAAACAAAAAAAAACAAACTGTAGAATGATATATATAATGTGATGTCATTTATATAAAGTATAATTTCACTCAAAACAATTACATAATTTTGTGTATTAATAGTGTAAAACATAGATGGGAATAATAAACACCAAAATAAAGGTAAGGGTAATAGCTATCGCTGGAGTTGAAAGGAGAGGAATGGCAACTGAGAGGGGTGCTCAGGGACTTCAAATGTATGGGCAATATTGAATTTCTTTTCTAAAAATCTGAAGCAACCATAGCAAAAATGTTAGGATAAGTATTCATTATGTTAACCTCTATAAGTTATCCTCTATGTTTGAACCCAGACACCATATTATGAGGAAGCAAAAACTAGCCCGGGTGAAGAGACCTCACAAAAAGGCTGACATGAAAAGGAATTAAGGTGCCCAGTCCATAGCTAGCATCAACAACCAGACATCTGAGTGAATAAGCCTTCAAAAGATTCCAGTCCCAGCTTTTGAAACTTCCAGCTGAAGACCAGACTTAATGGAGCAGAGACAGTTGTGCCTGGGATCCAAATTCCTGGTTCACTCATGAGCATAAATAAATGGTTATTTTATGACACTAAGTTTGGGGATAATTTGTTGTAAAACCTAAGTGAAGTGGAACACTCAAATGTTAGACTGAATTGAAAAGAAAAACATTTGTAGTACCTAGCAGAACACCTCAGCTCTGTTCACTAAATTTACAAAATTGCTATCAATGTAAACTTACCTCAGTTTAATAATATGTATATCTTCTTACCTCCAAACTTCCAGAGTGTGCTGCCCAATGTAAAGGTGTAAATTTATGGAGAACATCAACTTCATTAATGCTGGCTCCACGTTCCACTATTTCTGAAAGCTGCTTTACATCTCCAGCTCGTACTGCATCATGTATGCTACCAAAATGCACCTTCTTCCCGGCACCTATTGAAAAATCAAATTTCTTAAAATATATTACAGAACAATGAAAAAAAAGGCCTAAAGCAATGATTCAACAGAAAGCACAAAATCACTTTGGCTTGCCAAATACTTTTCTACAAAGTTGTTTGTGATTAAGGTCTTTATCAGACTTCAAGTGTCAGCTCTGACACATAAAGAGCATGGAGATTGACACTCCCGTTCTTTTATGAAAAAACTGAATAAACCAAAAATCAACTTTTCTTGGACCCATTAGAGAGCTGAGGCCACCCCAAATCTATAGGGACAGGCAAATACAGAGAAACATAGTCGAGTTCAGCTTACCTGGAGCAGAAGCTGCTGGAGCCATAAACTGGTGGAAGCACTTACATGATCATTTTAATGAATTGCCTGGGGCTGTGTATGGACTAGCCTAAGAATAAGAAATAGCTGGGGTCACAGTCCTGGGGAACCCCTACACTTTCATAGATTTTTTGCCTCTAGAAACCCCACCACATTATCACTATGAAAAGCCAAGAAATATGACCTCACGTCTTTGGCAAGGGGAAGGGGGAATACAAACGTTCTGAAATATGTCCAGTGTTCTACACCCCAGTGAAAAAGACTTTACCAGAGCCTTATCTCACATATGCAGATATATTTTATTAACATTTTTCTTATCTTTCTAATCCATATGTCTTATACTAAGAAAGGAATGACAGGTCACAGTTTTTAGTTCATACACTCTAATGTTTTATATTAAATAATTTAATGTACCAAACATCAAGAGTGCATTGTCAAAATTACCATACTAAGAAATATTTTAATGCATATTATAAACTAGAGGCAATAAAGGTACCTAAACATAAACAGACCGTTATTGGAGAAGAAAGAAGGAGTAAAGAGTTCAACTGGAGCACTCCCTAAATAAGACAAACCAAAAAAAGGCATGATTACTGACCTCAGGTTGTTTTGAGAACAACTCACCAACACTTCTGGCCAATGATCTATGCAAACTTATACTACATTTATCTATGTATATATCCTACGCCCACAATCAGACTGTTAATTTTTAAAGGTCTAGAATCATATCTTACACCAGCCTTTAACAAAATGCTATACATGTACCCTAAAATCCTTTCTAAGCATCTACCATGTGCCAGTTATTATAACACAATGTAAAACAGATATGGTTTTAACACATTTTCCTTCCATCAACACTTTAAAATCTATTTGGATAGATACAATGAAAACAAAAACCCCACAGCAACGACCTCAGACAGTATAGATAAAATTAAGAAGGAGAAATCAAAGACATCACAGAGGAGGAGGAAACATTTGAGCAAGATTTTGAGAAAAAATTAAGATATATGCATATGGAGAAGTAAGCAAGAAAGGCACACACACACACACAAACACTTAATAAATGTTTAATGATGTTCATTCCTTAGGTCACACGTTTATTCTTCTCCTTTATTTCAGTACTGCAAGACCTACAAATGGTGTTCTACACTGATCCATAACACTTAATAAATGTTTAATGATGTTCATTCCTTAGGTCACACCTTTATTCTTCTCCTTTATTTCAGTACTGCAAGACCTACAAATGGTGTTCTACACTGATCCATTTTGTACAGGGACACTCTAATTCATCTTATGCAGGAATGCTTCATGCCCTATATTGCATCATAATCCTGTTCCAAACTGCTATTGGTTGGCCACTGCTAGTCCGCAAAACAAATTCCAAACTCTTATTATGACAGTCTATACTCTCTCATAATGTGACTCCATCTAATTTTACAGCCTTCTTCTTACCATATTCCACCCCAATTCATTCATTCATCCATTCATCCATCCACTCATCATTAATTTGGTGTCTACCATAATGATAAAAAGTTAAAGACACGGTCTCTACCCTCAAGAAACGCACAGATTAGTAGAGAAGATATAAACACAAATTATACAATAATGGGGTAAGAGCAATGACAGAAATATTCATAAGAACTTATGGAAGAACAGATGAATTCTAACTCATCTAGGGTAGGAGGGAAGGGAAACATAAAGGATTCCCCGGGGAAAGTAACATCTAAGATGAATCTCCAAGAATGAGCAGGAGTATGCCAGGCAAAGTGGGAGCAGTGAAAGGCATCCTAGACAGTGTGAAAAGTAGGATGTGGTCAAGAAACCACTAAAAAAAAATCTTATCATGGAAGCATAAAGTGGAAGAAGAGGCTAAAACTAGACAAGAGACAGATTATGGTGGAACTTGTAAAAACTTAGACTTGGGCAGACAGTGAAGAATCACTGAGGAATTTTAAGCAGAAGAATTACAATGATTAGATTTGTAATGCTGAGTTGCTATGGCTGGCTGCAGTAAGGGGTATTTACTGGGGAGCAAAAAGGCAAGACCAGAGAGTCAGGGAGACTATGTAAGAAAACAGCTCCATAGCCTGAAAGACTGAGACTAAGATAGTGGCAGCGGGAACAGAAAAGGAGACAGATTCAACAAATATTAATGGAAATAGGATGAACTGAACTTGGATGGATATAGTGAGTGAAACAGGGAAGAGAAATAGGGTAACTTCGGGATGTCTGACTTAGTCACCTAGTGCTGTGCTACCATTAACTGAGACAGCAAACACTGAAGCACAGAGAAGAAGTGCGGATACCAAATTACATTTTGGACATGTTGATCTTGAGGCACCCAGAGAAGATTTCCAGAAGGGAAATATATATATAAGTGTGAAGCTCAGAGAGGAGATGTGGAATTCAGGTTTCAGTGGTAGGTGTGTCTCAGTATTAGAAAGCTTTTTCTGACACCCATCCTCACCCTGTACTGGAACCAATGCACTCTACTGTCCTTAGTCATTATTTGCTCAGTATTTATCTTCACCACTAAGAAAGTATGGTATGTGCCTGTCTTCTTTACCGATATTTCCTTAAACACAGCACATAGTAGGCACCCAATAAATAGGAGGGTATTTCAAAAAGTTCTTGGAAAACTAGAATTAAAAGATAATACAGGGGCTGGCTGGTTGGCTCATTTGGTAGAGCGTGGTGCTGACGACAAAAGGGTTAAGTGTTGAGAAGACTCCCTCATGTTTACTGGATGGATGAATGAAAAACATAGATTTGAGGGACATTAGCAGGATTAAAGCCATGGTACATGACAAGAAAAAGAGGACCAGTGATGGCACCATCAAGTGAAAAAAGCAACATTTAATGAGAGGATGGAAGAAAAGGAGTCAGCAAAGGAAAGGGAGAATGAATACAGTGGAAAGAAGGAAAACTAGGTAAATTAATTTGTCATCTCCACAGGGCCAAATGATGCAGAGAAGTCAAGTAAGAACTTAAAAGGGTTTACAAGATTTAACAAGAGTTGATGTCAATCTAGGCAAGAAGTCTCAAAAAATGCAGATGAAAAAAGGGAGGAAAGCTGAAATGAGGACGGGGGACAGCTGAACAGCTTTGGGACCCACTAAAAATAGATTAAGAACGGGGAAACAGAAGTGTGACGACACGGAAAGGGAAACGCCAGAAAAGGCTTAGGCATTAGCGGGATGAAGTGAAAAAAAGGAAAGTGGCAGAGATACGGGCCAACGAAATAGTTTGACTCACACGGGTTTGCAGTCTCCCTAGAGGAAGTGGAGGCCACCCCGGGCATGGTGCAACCCTTCCGACTCTGGGAAGGAGTTGAGTCCAGGCCCCTGCTGCTGCGACGGTCTTCACTTGATCTCACCCACGAGCTACTGCAGCAGCAGCGGCCGTCTTCGTCGTCGTCACTGGGACAGGGGCCACGGTCCTCCTTTGCTTTCTCCCAGGGGACCCTGCAGCGGGAAACTTCGTCTTCACTTTTTCTCTCCCACAAGCCACTGAGGCGGCGGCTGGAGTCTTCGCTGACACTCACCTCGGAGGAGTCACTGGCCGCGTAGCCTTGGTCTTCACTTACACCGTCCCAAGAACTACTCAGGCTGTGGCCATCGACACTCCCTCCCTCCCAAGAGCCACTGAGGCGGCGGCTGCGGTCGTCACTGACTTTCTCCCCGGAGTCGCTGGTTCGGGGGCCCTGGATTTCACTACCTGCCCCCCAAGTACCACTGAAGCGGAGGCCGCGGTCTTCTCTGACCGTTCCCCAGGAGTCACTAGTTTCGTGGCTGCCAACTTCACTTAAATTCACGTCGCTGCTGCGGAAGCCGCGGCTGTGACGGTAGCCACCATCTCCCCTAATTCTCTCCCGAGAGACACTGCGGTGGTAGGCTAGGTCTTCGCTGACTCTTCTCGAGTCGCTGCGGGAAAAGCTGACGACTTCACTTATTCTTCTTGCGGAGACCCTGGCGCGGCAGTTACCGTCTTCATGTTTTCTTTCTCCGTCGTCGCTGCAACGGAAGTCCTGGTCCTCGCTAACTCTTTCCCTTGACTCGGCGCCACCATGGCCGTATCGGCCGTTTATCCTCCACACGTGGTGGCTAATGCGGCGGCCGCCGTCTTCGTTTGCTACTCCCCGTGAGGCGCTGTGGCGGCGGCCGCCGTCGACCTGTACCTTCTCCTCCAAGTCGCTTTCCAGCGTCCCCTCCAGCAGCGAGGCTAGAGCGGTGGTATAACCATCGCCTTGGAAACGAGTAAACTTCCGGCGTGCTGCGGTCATTTCCGGTTCCTCACGGCCTTACGTCTCTTCCGGCTTCCTTTCACCTTTTTCAAGGCTTCTCCTCTAGAGAACTCGGCCGCTGATACGGACCGGTTTTCGATGGGAATTGTTCGGTCTCACACGAGTCTATCTAGGCCTGTTTCTGGAACGGTCTGTCGTCGATCACGTTCTCCATTTCTCAGCGACCCAAGTGGAGGCCCCAGGATCACAGTCTGCGTAGGTGACCAGTGTGGTGCGGGCCGGGCGGGGCCTTTTCGTCCTTGGCAAACCTAGTATGTTTTTTAAGTGCTTGTTGGAAGAGAATCTGTTCTTATCCTGTCATTTCACAAGTATGGAAAAGACCTAAAGGAGAAGTTAGCGGCTTCAGCCGCTGCCATTATTGAGTGCTTTCTAGTGGCAGGTTCTTTGATAACCACTTGTTAGGTGTTATTCCCATTTCACAGGTCAGCAGACTCAAGATATCAGTAATTTGCTGAGGCCGAACAGTAGGTAAGTTGTAAAGCAAGTATAAAAACAGAGACCATTAGTCAAAAGACTGCTCCACGGCTTCTGACCCCAAATCCTAGGTTCCTTTCGCGGTAACATGTTTCCTTTTAAGAGTTTGGCCCAAATCTTTTCTCTTCAACCCTGTTGCTTAACACATATTCTTCCATTAACTATTTGTTGCAAACATATGGGTCAGATTTTGTGCTACCAGCCGAGAATGCAGAAATTAGTAATAATTCTCTGTCCTCCAGGGGTATCACTAACCTTGATACCTCTCAGGTCGTTTTTTTCCATCCTTATTGCCTTGCCATACATATCTTCTACTTTCGGGAACTGGGGTCCTGGAAACACACCATACTCTTTCATAGCTCTGTGCCATTATATATGCTGTTCCTTCTACCAGGAAACTAGCCTGCCCTCTGCCCAGTTTTATTCTGTGAACACATTTGCGAAATTCTACTGACCCTCTCTCCTCTCTTGAGATACAGTAGATTGCCTTTCTTGAATTTCCATAGCCTTTTGTTATATTAATAACTCCCATTTATTGAATTCATATGATCTGTCTGGCACTGTACTAAGTACTTGATATTTTCTTGTTTTTGTCCTTATTATAACCTGCCAGAATAGGTATTAGTGTTCCTTTTTACAGATAGAAAAATAAGGCACAAAAGTTAATTGCCTGAGGGTACATAGATAATAAATAGTAAATACCTGAACTGGGATTCCAACCTAGGTGATTTTGCTGCACATGCTTCTCAAAGATATTGAATTTCCACGGCCTTTATTAAATCACATATCACATGGTGTTGTAATTACCTATTTAACAGTTGATCCTCACCTCACATTCCAAGAACTCTGAGCTTCTGGAAGAAGCCATTCCTGAGATCTAGAATATTTGATTCAAGGGAAAGGCTTAGTAACTGTTGGGTGGGTGAGTGGGTGGGTTGATCGTTTGTCAGGTTGATGAGCTTTCTGGCTGAATATAAAGTTTTTCACTGTTGGAAGGGAATTTGGGATTAGTTATCCCAATTCCCTCATTTTTAGAAATGGGATAACTGAGGCGTTTTGTCTGCCAAACATGTATTGCATTATTATGTGGGCCAGTTACTATGCTAAGTGATTTGCAAATATTTTCAAACTTAATCTGTATTGTTGTTTTTATTTTTACAGGTGAACAGCTCAGATTTGACCAAGATCACATAAGTAGGAGTTGGGGGATTAGAACCCATTATGACTGACTCCAGTAATATTTAAATATTTAATAATAATTAGATAAAGTCTTTAGTTTTTGCTTTGCTGTAAGGAGTGGATAAACTCAATAAGGGAATGAGGTAGCATATGACAAATCCTTAAAGATATACACATGGCAGGAAGGATCAGAAAAGTGAACAGAGAAACAAGTAGCAGAAAAGTTCCCAAAATAAATTTAAAAGGAATTAAAATAAAAGGAGAAATTAATGAAATAGAAAATAAGACTGATAATAATAGGTGGAATTTGAAAAACACAATAAATAGATACTGTTAGCAAATCTAAGGAAGAAAAAGAGAACAGTATTGGGAAAAAAGGGAACATATTACAAATATGACATGGAGACTTCAGAAATTAGAAGTGAATATTTTGTGTAATTTTCTACTAATAATCTTGAAAATTGTCTTGCACAATTTTATAGGAAAATATAAATTTCATAAAATCGGTTCAAAAGTTAGAAAACCTTAATAAATTGATAAACATACAAGAATATCCTAAAGTAGCCTATCCCTGACAAGAGTCACCAGGAACAAGGCGTAGAGAAGGATGGAGTGCTTCCGAACTATGAAACTAGCATAACTCTGACAACCCTAACCCTGTCAAAATTTTTAATGTGTATTACCCACGAACCAGCAACTATCTGGTTGCTCAGATGTTTGTATTATGATAGTCATTGCAACACTTTGCACTTGTAAATAACTACAAAGAAACGAGTATCCATCAGTAGAAGAATGGCTAAATAAATTATCCTGCATTTATCAGTGGTGGAAATGCAGATCTACATGCATTAATCAACATGGAAAGAGTTGTAAGATATTGGCAATGAAAAAAGACACAAAACAATATGTTATCTTTTTTAATTTTTAAAAATTATTTTGTAAAAGGATTTTTTAACGTTTTAGAGAGGATCTATACCGGATTGTTAACTCAGTCATTAACTTTATAGAGCAAGAAAGAGATGGTGTGAAAGGGAAGTTTATTTTTTATACTTGCATTATGATTTTTAAAAAGTTTTTTTAATCCTTCCTAAGTAAAATTATTTTGTAAAAGGATTTTTTAACGTTTTAGAGAGGATCTATACCGGATTGTTAACTCAGTCATTAACTTTATAGAGCAAGAAAGAGATGGTGTGAAAGGGAAGTTTATTTTTTATACTTGCATTATGATTTTTAAAAAGTTTTTTTAATCCTAAGTAAAAATACAGAAGCCCAGAAAAACATGTGATGTCACATAAAGATAGTTTTAAGGAAGCATATGTAGACCAAGAAAGATAAAGAGGCTAAGAAAAGCACATTGGTTTTGGAAAGGAGTTGCTGTTAATAGCCAAGAGAGCAATTTTAATAAAATAGTCAAGATGCAAAAACAATGCACAGGATTTCAAGGTAAGTGACTATGAAGGAAGTTTCTCAAGTGAAACAAAGCTCAGAACACACTGGAGAGGGCATCTCAGCATTCCAGAGAATTGGAACCCTTTGTGAGTAGGCCATGGTACAGTTAGTAAAAATGGCTAGTCTTCCACCTCTACCTCAGTTTTCCCAAAGTGGGGTGATAAAGCAGGCTGTCCCCCTAATCCCCCATAAACAAGCTCTTTGCATATAGTTCCAGAGAGAAAGCAGGGACAACCCCAAGCAAAAAAGTGGATTTTGGTAACCATCTCTACTCCTTTCTGCCCAAGTACCCTCTTTTACCTCCCAGGCATTCTTGCTCTCCCTTTAGTACCCATCCCCAAATCCTCACTGGGGTACCCTATGAGTACTTTTTGACTCTTAAGCTTACTCTTCCCCATCTGCCCAACAAAATGCCAATTATCTGAGGGAGTTGACCCACTTAAAATTAGGAGAAAATTTCCCACTACAGAAGTTCAGGACTTTCTTGACAAATAGCCTGCTGATTTTCCATTTTTACCTCCTCTTTAGTCAGCCACATCTTTCCGTTTGCAAGCGTGGTTAGATATGTCTCCTTAGATTTTCCTGAATTTATTGTATAAACTTCTCACTGGGCACTTATTTGGCACTAAATAGAATGTAAGATCAGCTAGCCAGAAAAACATAACTGAAATATAGAATTCTATTTTAGGTTATACTGTTATATGAGAATTTTAAAATTTTTAATGTATAATTAAGTCCTTACTTTTCTCCCCAAAGTTTATTATATTTTCAGCTGACGTACAGTGAGATTGCTTTGTATTTTCCAGAACATCAAAGTTGGAAGTTTTAAGTAGGAAAATTACATTAAAATTAGGACATCATGGAGCTGGCCAGTTAGCTCAGTTGGTTAGAGCATGGCCTCAAAACACCAAGGTCCAGGGTTCAGTTCCCCATACCAGCCAGCTGCCAAAAGAAAAAAGAAAAAAAAAACAAAAAACACCCAAGACATTAAATCTTTAGATTTTAGAGCATATACAATATTCCTTTTATCTATACTCACAAACTTCAGCTCTTAATTCAAGAGACAATGTTCCATCTTCTCTGGGGCTTCCTTCAGCTTTCATTCTGCACTTTCCATTGTGGATTACTAGTTCCAGTGGTATATGTTGACTTTTTCATTTTCATTTAGAGCTAAAATATAATGTTGCTGATTTCTGCATTAGTTAACCAGATTCGGCTGATCATTAGAATCAATGGTGGAGCTTCTTAAATATTAGAGGTGCCCCAAATGAGAACAAAGTGAGACCGTCTAGAGATGAGGGCTCTCTTAACATTCACTATAAGTGATTCTAATGCAGAGCCAAATTCAGGACAGATCTTGGTCACTACCCCCACATCTGACCCCCTACCTCAGAGAAAATAGGAATTGAACTCTCAATTCCAACTACCAGTGGCCATTCTGGAGAAAGCACTGCACCTGCTCCATTCCGAAGCTAATCCCCTCTGTGCTTAATACCATTACTCCAGCTGAGATTAGTCAGTCATCTCAGTCTCCAACCCATCTCTCCACTGAGCTCCTTTTAACATGTAACTACAATTTAATCTCTACAGTTAAATTTTATAAAAGTAGCTTTTACTATTTCATTACCTCCCACCCACACTACCCATTATACCTGGCATTGGCATCCACACTCCTTACGTGAACAATTTGGGAATATTTCTAAGTCTTACCATATTTTCTTTACTTTTATTGTGTTGACTACTCACCCCTTGAAAATTTTTTTCCCATTGCTGCTTTTCCTATCTTTCTCACCTTTCTTTTGAACATCCCATACCTTTAAGCATTTTATAAAAGCTATGGGTGGTCTCCCCAGAAAAACGTACAACAGGAAATTTTG